GGGAGACCGTTTCTTTCACTAAATTAAGAGCTCGTTGAGTTCCCGCCACTGAGTTCCAGCGACTGATAAGGGGCTGAGGTGGCTTATTGTGTTTCTTTGTGCTGAAACAAAATTTCTAATGACAACACCACCTGACAAAGAACAACCATGCTGCCCTTGTCTGTTGAAATTTTGAAGATATGAAGTTGTCCTAGGTTCCCTTGAAGCATGAAGATACATGGAGGTTCCTTTCCATGTCTGATAGGCAACACCTCTGTTCAGTGTGGTTACACTGTTGCTGGTGAGCCAAACATACCACTGGCATGTTTGCTTTCACTGAAGGAGTTGTCCTTACCCCTTATGTTATGAAGAGAAGAGCAGCTGTGTGTATTCAAACTGTACATCTTACGTAGTTCGACAAACTCCAAAATCCAGAACCGGAATCTGGTTTCGGTTTTGGCTTGTTTAGCTATGATATAAAGGAACAAAAAAGTCAGGTAGACATGTACATGAAGCGCAGAACACACCAGAAATACCGATAGATTCGGACTCTAGGAGTTAGCATCTTGGGAAAGAAGAGTGCACAGGAGTATTGACAAGAAGGCTGGGGTGGATCATGGGGGGGTGCGTGACCATATATATATATGTATATATATATATATATCTGTGTGCGTGTGTGTGTGCGTGCGTGTGTGTGTGTGTGTGTGTATACAGCCCCCGGTACATGTGTATGTATATACATATATGTATGTATATATATATATATACACATATATCCAAATGTATATGGTCATACCTTTCATTAGAAATCCTGTTTCATCACAAAGAATCACGAAAAGCCTTCTTAGCCCCGTAGCAGTGGCTAGAACTCAACAGGCTCCTACAATCTGCCAGTACCACAAAAGTCAATCTGAAGGTTTCGGAAAAGAAATGTTCTCCCTCCAGCAAATTCCCAATACATTCGGTGGTATGTCGAGCTTCTTACGGTTTGTATTGGTATGACACCAATGGAACCTATGCTCGTTTCGTTATATCATGTGGAATTAGACAACTCCTGTTACAACCAGAGCAACATGTCAAATTTCGTGTGCTGGCAGCAAGAACAAAAGCAAAGACCAAGTAAAGATGCCCCATTCTACTCCTCATAGAAAATGTGGAAGCACGCCTCAATGCCTTTTGGCCTTCGTGGGAATTAAGACAAACATGCATCTGGAAAGCATTCGTTGTTCCTCTCTTAGTAAAAGTTCACATGCTAAAACATTTGCTGTTTTCGCTTAGCTTAAGATGCAAGACGATCCTGGCTCAGAACATAATGGAGCACTATTGCACAGCCGTACTCGCACAAGTAATAAACAGCCTGCCATCCTTCATTACAACATGAAACAGCTTCAGACCTCCCCTCCAAGCCTCTGAGCAATGGTGGAAACACATCTATTTTTCATTCGCATTGCTTTCAGGAAAGCAATGAAACACTTGACTTACATCTTGAGCAAAGCTGATCGTGACTACTGCTGCGACTTCGATCGATGAAAGTTGAGTTTGTATCGCCACTAACTTCAGCAATTAAGAACTAAGAGAAACACAAGAATCCTGTTTCTCTGTTCAAGCAACGGGCAGGGTTCCAACTGCTAGCAAGGTCTTACCTCGTTGAAGAGACAAGAACTCGACAGTATCTCAACATGATGTATGGTTCAACAAACGCAAACAGGTTAGAATAGTACATGGTGCAGCTGTTCCTCTATTGATTGCTTTTGCATCTCAGGCTTCAGGAATCTTGGGGAAAATCGATTCTTGCCGATGCATTCGCATCCGAGGTTGCCAAAACGCTGCCAGGCTCGAGTTTCCCGAGACTTTGAGATGCCGGATATGCGAAAACACTGGCAGGGATCCAATTTCGCCAAAATTCCCAAAATCCTGGCATCGATGGGGAGTGCAGGGCCCTAGTTGCTGAGATGTTAGGAATTTTGGTGAAATTCGAGCTTGGCGATGTCAACCTGCAAATATCTCCACTGCCATGATACACTGCTTGCAGAGAGCAGGCTCGGCTGGATCGGGGGCGGGTAGCGTGAGCATATATGCATATATATATATATATATGCTACCCCCCCTAAGACCCCACGTTCGGCAGAAACACGGCATCATACATGTAGTTGTTTGACATAATTCTGTTCATAGCAGGGTGGGAGCCCACCTTCCCAACTTCTCCAATTTCTTCACCCATATCATATTTTGAGCCACCCTAAAATTAAACATTGTTTTCCGTGCTGGCCAATATTTCAGACAAAGAGCCACTATATTCAATTTGCCCCTTCCTCACTGCCATATTATAAGAACTGATTGCTTCGTTGGAAGTTCCGTAAAACATATTTCCTCAATTATTGTTTGTATGAGCCAGCCAAACAGGAACAGATAACCAAACAAGCTCCGGAGAAAAACATCGAAAGGAAAAGGAGTGTTTCTAATTGGCAGACAGACAGACAAATCTCAATTTCAATCGTAAGCCCTAGGCCCTAGAGACCCTAGACCCTAAACCCTGAACCCTAAGCCCTAAGCCCTAGTCCCGAAGCCCTGCGTGTAGGTTCCAGGTTCCCTTGAACGAACCTAGCTAGCTGTTGATTAACTGACTCGTTGCGCAATATGACATGATTTGGATGAGAAGCCTGCTGTCTTCTAGAACCATTGACTAGCTAATTTCCCTACATCGGCTTAATCCTTTCCCGTTGTAGGAAGTCACACCTGAGAACTGAAATTAGTATTGGGCCCGGCGTGCAGAACATTGAGCGGGATTTGGGTTCGGCCTGTTTTGCAGCCCACGAACCCTGAAATTCTACATGTCTGTGGCCTGCGGCCTGCAAGTCACTGAAGCACTACATTCTCGAAACCAAGGCTGCCCGTAATCCTCTAGCTCCTAGCATTACCTGCGCCCACATTATTACGAGTATTGGCGTCAGATATTACCATCGTTGCCAACGCTCAGAGCATTTCGTTTAGCTTGAGTGGTGGTATGAGTACTAGTAATCCGTAGTAGAAATCCCTGCGGGCCAATGATATCACCAGTCCCTCGTCCTGGCTCGTAGTATTCAATGTATCCGTGATAATACTCGCAAAATCGCTGGCGTGCTACATGGGTTAGTTCAAGCAGGGGCCAAACAACTCGTTCAGTTTACTGTCATAACTTCCATCATAAACAAAGCACGGATATACCACTAACAAATATTGCCAGTAAGTTGATTAGGTGACTGGTTAAATAGACGTTTTTGTGTATACATAATACTGTGACATACACTGTGTAAGCACCTGGAATTGGCTAATTATCTACATTACCATGGTCTGGTCATGTTTCAATCACGGCACAAGTGCATCCATTCACCAACCCATATGTTTTCAATTGCTTGCCTCTGGCATAGGGCTGTCAGAATGCAAAAGGTGAAAAACAATTACTCGGCTTGGCAGCAAGTAGACCAAATATGTGCTTAAACCGTTTGAAATAGCTAGCTCCTTATCTTGATATCAGCAGACAATTTCCGACATGCATTGAGATACGCCCGCATGCAGATTAGAGGCTTCATGTTGGCAATGATAGTGGGTTCCTATACATGAGTTGGACTGACGAATGGCCAAAAGACAACTAGTCTGGCACGTGCAGAACACTATAGAATGGGATGTTTACTTAGTATTTCAAGTATGTAATCTGATTAACCACAGGCATGAAGAAGCCACAAGAAGCTTTCACATAGGTTAACTTTTTGAACGATGCAGTTGTTTGGATTTATGTTGAAAAGAAGCAAAAAGGGTCTTTACACACACCGGAACAACAAATTTTTCCTGCCTTGGCACTACCAGATTCCTCTATGCGCACATGTATCAGCCTCTGTGCTTGAGAAAGAAACGAAATCTGGATGTCATGATGCTTCACAGGTTGGCACAAAGTCGCAGGTTTTCAGATTCGCAAATTCGCAGATTCGCAGATTTGCAGATTCGCAGATTTGCAGAGTCTTAGATTCGCAGATGGTATAGCCTCTGCGATTTGGCAATCTGCGAATCTGGGATTCTGCCAATCTGCGAATCTGCGAATGCGGGATTCTGTGAATCTGCGAATCTGCGAATCCACGAACGACGTGATACACGACTTCACTTTGCTTTGTTGCGACATTGACGGCGGTCTGAGATACCTACTGCTATCATCATAGCATGACTGCCCCAACTCCCAACCACTGCACTCCACTGCCCCATGCATCATGAGCAAGAAATAGCCGTAAAGCGACATTTAATGCAGTCAGCGGCAAGAAGCTCCAGGAAGTACGGCCAAGATACCAGAGGCGTGGGGTCTTGGGGGGGGGGGTACCATATATATATATATATATATATATATATAATAAACAAATAAATAAATAAATATATATATATATGCATATACATACATGCATGCATGCATATGTGCGCGCACGTATACATGTATGTATGTATGTATGTATGTATGTACATAAACAAATAAATAAATACATAAATAAATAAATAATATATATATATATATACACATGTGTAAACAAATATTTGCCTACTTGTAGCAAGTATGCGCCAGAGACAAAGCTTGCCGGGCGTCTCAAGGCCAGCAGCTAAAAAAGATCCACGCACGTAAAGCTACAATCTAGGCATGCCGCTTGCAAAGACCAGCATTCCTTCCACGGGGTTGGTCAGCCCCTTCTGAAGCATGTTGCAGACAAGAATAACGGATGAATTGCATCGCGCAAGACGGCCCACAAACCGTCAAAACAACTCGGTGGGCGAGGCAAAAACACAATTGCTGTCAGAAAAAGAACAGCCCCGACTCCGAAAGGGAGAGGTCTAGCCAGGATTGGATGTTTTCATACGGAACCCGTCTTAGCTGTGTTCTGGGACTCCTGAGCCGCTCCTCGAAAATCTAAGAAAATCCTCATGTCGCCGCGGCCTCACGGAGTGCGTCCACGGAGCAGGACGAAAATCATGCTCTGAGCTTCCGCCAGCGGAAAGAGCAGAGTTATCTAGTATTGCAAATGTTCCTGTGTCCCCTCTCTGAGGCAGTCCAAACTATGATCGGCGACATGGGCTAATCTGCGGTCGACCCATGCTCCCGTTGGTGGATCGCCTGTGTCAGTCGACATTTCCAGCACTTGGCGGACGCTGTACACCCTGCCCTGGCAGCTCAGCAGATCTTCCATTGCCTGTCAGCAAACGGGCACACAAAATTCAGAAACGCTTAACCAGCATATCAAGCATGTCGAGAACGAAGCCACGGAGGACGCTGCAGCACGTAAATGAAGCTTTCTGCCGAAGGGACCAGGGTATGCTGACAAGACATGGATGAGCGGCAGAAGCGCCTCACGAACTGGCCGAGCGTGGCGTTTGGCGAGTTGCAAAGCTGTGCGGCCGCCTGGGCTGTCTGCTGCAAGGATCTTCAGCAAACGCTGCTTACATACGGATTGTCATCCGAATCTATAGTGCGTGCATACACAGAACAGGTGATTGCACGAGGTGTGGCTGATGTACTGGAGTATAGTTGAACCCGCACTTGTCTGACACATGCAGCTTCCGTGAGGCATTCTGCATGCACTGCAGAACCCTCCAGAACCTGGCGAGCTACGCGACGTGCGCTGTGTGGGATCTGCCCCGGAAGCCAGCAGCAGCTTGACCATCTCTACCTGTCTACGAGCAGATTTGCACGGTGTGGAATTTGGCTTCATGATGCACCTGTTCCCTGAAGTAACGTAATGTCGTGTATTTGCTCCAGGCTGCGGTCTTGTAGTTCTGGAATGCATCCTGCGACCTAACACCGTTCAAGGAGCCTCGCCCTTCTGGACCGCGAGGTGTAGAGGACAGAAGCGCTCCCGGAAGGGCATACAGCCTGCGACCAGAAACGCGGACTCAGTGAAGGCAGGAAAGGCAACCTCTGCGACTCTGCGAGCCATGGCTTTGGCCTCCGGCTCCTTCCTTCGCTCGCTTTTCTTCCAGACCACTGTAGTCGTTGCTCTGCCTTGGCTTGGTCGCCCGCCGCGGGTCGCCAAGAACTGCGCCAACTGCAGCCAACTATGTATACTACTTGTATCATGTGCTATCCATGCTGCAAGAATTCCTCGACCTTGGCCACCTGCCGCTCGCGTGAACGTTGACGCCTGAGCTTCCCGTTCCGTGGGCGGCCGATCACTGCATCATCCTCTTTCTCTTTCTCCGCCACAGGGGAGATAGGTGTTTGACTCACGTCGAGGTCGCTGTAGCTGGCACAGGTTCCCGCACGGTCTGCGCCTTTGGCGCCTGCTGCGCCTGCGAGCTGGAGCTGAATCTCCCCAGGAAGGATCGCTGCCATCTCTGCAGGCTTCAGTGCCATGGCACCTCGTAGAGGCTGTGCTGGCCGCACTGGCCATGTATGGAAAAAAGCTACGCGACACTTGAGCAGTGAAGAAGGGCCAATATGTCAATGTGTTGTATGAGCGACCCCCGCATGTCTGTCACAGCTTTATCCATGGAGGGAATACTAACTAAGCTTTGCTGCATCTCGGATTCTCGAGTGACTGGTTTTCAGCCTGTCATTTGCCTGTGCAGAGGGCACACCTTTGTGCTTCGAAACGGTGCCTCCGAAAACCAATGTTGCAGGATGACCACGCACCCTTCACCTTCAGCCTCACCTCCCCCAAACCCATGCTAGGAGGAGACCGAGGTCCAGAGTCCAACGCGGGCGCCTGCTCGGAGTCGATATGCAGGGTGAACCTGAGCCGAGGAGAATCGTAGCATTGCCGCCGTCTATGCTTTTTCTCTTGCGGCTCAGAGGCCGAAGCGACAAGTCTGGGCTCCAAACAGCGCATGGGTCCGCGATGATTCTCGATTCAGCGCATGTGCGTTGACGCGACGATTCTGCAAGCCGGCCTGGACGCGGAGCTTTGCTCTAAGACCCCAATCGATGAGATGACTCCTACATCGCTGAGCTTGACCGACGGAGCCAGGCAACGAAAGCTACAGGGCCCAATGCTTTGCGACTCTCACCGTACAGCTGAGACGTACTTGCAGATTACAAAGAGAGGGCAGGGTTCTCCATTGCAGTAGCTGACTCTTGCTCCGACACACGCGGCTGCGTGTTGCTAACTCAAAGAAGAATCTTCCCTGATCTAAGTCCGATGACGGTTTTCCAAGCACAGGGCACGGCCGAAACGATTTTGGTGGGCTGCAATTGCCAAACAAGGGCAGGAACATTGCAGCAGCGACAGTGCCTCCAGCACGGCTCGAACGTCTGCCAGAGTGCGGCACTCAGCCACCTTGACCAGGAAAGGTCAGAGGCTCAGAGCAAGGGCCATCAAAGAGAGAAAGGAGAGTCGGCATGAGCCGCTGATCAAGTCTGGCGAAAACTTTCGCAGCAGGGACTGAGCTGCTCTTCGCCGCGTCAGTGCCAGCAAGCCAGCTTGAAGCTCCGGCTCCGCTTGTGTGGAAAAGGAGCCGAGGCAAGAGCGGCCAAATCGCTGATGAAGAAGCCATGCTTCTGACTGAAGCGCACCTGGGTCACCACATAGAGATAAGTCGAGACAGATCTTCCCTGAAACAAAATGACCAGCTGGCCTGCAGATGCCCGGCGTCTGGATTCAGCAAGTCACAGATGCACCTTGAGGCGCTTTTCAGAATCTGCGAATGTCTACGACATGCGAGCCTCGACTCGGCGGAACTCTAAGGACTCCAGGTGCCCCACTCATTGACAGCGCCAGGTGCATTGAAAATCTCTGCAAAGGAGGCTCCAACCTGAATGCAAAGGCAGCCTCTGGCTCAAGCATTTGCGAAGCAAATGACCAGTTTCAGCTAAAGTTTAGCAGAGGAGTCGCAAGCCAAGAATCCTAAAGAAGCTTCTCTTGAAGCTTCAAGCACGGAGCCGAGGCACCGTGATTCTGGAGCCTCCGGTGCTTTCACCTCTCGGAAACGGTGTCTTTTGCGCGAGTACGTGCCGTGGCAATCCGCACTCTGATTCTGTCTTGCAAAACTGGCTGCATTCTAAACGAGTTGCTGCAACGGCATGCGCACTGCCTATCTGCCGGAAGAGTCGACGAGCTGCTCGTATGACCAGGCCATCGTTGCGCTTGACCTTTTGGCACAACACAGACTCCCGAGAATTGCACGGGTTTGAAGACTCTGAAGCTCAAAGGCTGCGCATTGCTGCCGTCTTGCCTCGTCCCCACAGTCGGATGTACGGTCGCCGGCGCTGGACCGACCCATCTGACGCAATCGCACGAGACGGGTGTGGGTGGGTGGGTGGGGTGGGTGGGTGGGTGGGTGTTTGTGTGTGTGGGTGCGCACGCACAACAGTGTAGCTCGTCAACTCGAACGCTTTAGACTGTAAGCCATCGGTTGTGAGGAGCACTTGCTATTCGTGACATGCTCAAGATGTGGGATGGGGAGTTAGAAAGATGCACGCATAAACGGGCAGGCCGGGCCATAGTGTACGTCTTGCCACTGCCAGTTTGGCCATACGCCAGGACGGTGGCCTGACCCAATGCTGCACCGATGCGTGTTTCTCGCACGAAGCTGCGAGGCTGACCAAATTTTCCTACAAGATGTGAAGCATGGCCGTTCAAGAACTGTAAGGCAGCTGCAGCATATCCAGCAACTGCTGCGTCGAGCAGGCAGGTCACACCACTCTCTTGGAAAACCTGGCAGGAGAGTGTGTGACAGCAGGGAGGATTTAGAAACGAAAGCGTAGCTTTCTACAGTAACTTTCAAGTGACTGCATATCTCGACAATACGTAGAACCCGGTGCGACTTCACTGGCACTCGTCGGCTTGCCGGTTGAATCCCAAGGACTCTCCACCATCTTCCGAGGTGGGGCCCGGCCTGTTTCTGCGATCGGTCTTCGGGAAGACATGCGTCGAAGGAATACTTTCGAAACTGGTTCGCCGCGCCCACCCTGAGCAGGTCGGTGAGTTCACAATTCATTGTTTCACTCGTATGTAGCAGCGCACAGAACCGTCTTGCCTCTCCTGGCCAAAGCATGCACAGAGAACTCTTTCAAAGCTGCGGCCAAAGAGTCCCCGCTGGCCCCTCCCAGCTCCCGCCTTACCAGGATCGACCGGTCACCGGAGGCCTACGAGGATTCCGTCGTACTTTCAGGCACTAGTAAAGGGGATGGAACCGGGGCGCTTGAGGCTGCAGCCTTGAAATACAGGTTCGGGCATGTCGGCGCACAGGAGCCCCCCTGTTACGGGTTTGGAAAGGGTTTGCCCAGCCCCCGTGCGAATGCTCACAGCTCTTCAACCTCGAAGGGGCCAGAGACCGAATTAGACAAAACGGAATTCACAAGGAAAGGCCTGGCAGCAATTCTCGTGCCCGGCTTCAAGCTCTTGCCTGGCTACATCTGAAAATCGGCAATAGCGCAAGGAAGCCATGACCGCAAAATTCTCACTGCCCTTTTACTCAATCTCGCCGGCATCTCTGTAGAAGGGGGCGGACGCGCACCACAGCTCTGACTGAAGAGGACCTGCTGCATCAGAAAGCTTTGCAATGTCAACAAACACGGAGCCCGAAGCCCTCAGATGCCTTCTTGCAAAAGTGAACACACAAACGGCACGAAAGCACCATGCATTGTTAAACTGTTAGGGCCAGATGCCAAGATAGTTCGGCCCGCTGCTACGAGATGCGCAACTCCCCATGGTGCAATTCACTCACAACAAAGCACCAAACTCTGAGCCAAAGAGTCTTGGTTAGATGCAGGCCCTCACCACGACTGCAGCATCTGCTCTCGAGGTCCTCATCTTCTTCTGCCAACCAACATACCACGTCTGTAAGAACATTTCAGGAACCGCATTGTCGTACAAAAACGACACGCGGCACACCAAACAAGTCCTGGTTTAGCATCTTGTGCGCAGCCACCCATCATCCCAATGTGCATCGGTTGCGGAATGTACTGGCTTGAGTTGTGCGTGATCGCCATCTCTTAGTAGCACTTATAGATCCAGAAGGAATTCTCGTGCGGGCCTGCAGCAACATCAGCAAAGCCTAGGGCCTAGAGAATTGGTTCAAAAACATTGGCTACGACAGGCAAGACACATGCAAAATTGTCATGATCCTAATTTAAGATGCTGTCGGAGCTGCGCATCCCGCGGCATGCATGCCCAGCCAACGGTGAGGGCGGGATCCCATGGAGAATCAAGCTACCCTCACAGACATCAGTCGCATTCACGGCTGTTCGTCTTGGTCAGGTTGCGCGAAGGACAGATTCAGGGCCGAAAGCATAAATTTGTGGATAGGGTGCTAAAGGTATTTTAAAGATCTTTAAAGTAAGGGGTAGAGCACGGCACAGGCCGAAGCTGCAGCAGATTCTTTGCACTCGATGACGAATGCAAGGCGAAAGTCCCTGGCGCCCGTTTGCCTGGCTTGGGGAAGGCCTACCTCTGAGGTTCACTACGTCCTCCCATTGTTCTCATGCGAACACAGCTGCAGTTTTGGAGCCACAAGCAGAGATTTCATAGACGTGTGGCTTATGGCCTGGCTGCGCTACCTCGCAGAGAGTTCAAAAGTGCGGGGATTCAAGCGTTGAACAAGCACGGAACGGCTCTTTTCAAGGAAGGACGCCCCAGACGGTGAATGTCGGATGCTTGGCTTGGCTTGCTAACTACTGTATAATGATATGATGGCTTGAAAGTTCAAGAGCTCCAGAATCTGTAGTAGCCTGGAAAGGTTGCGATATCAGCGTTCACTTTGCGCTTGCTTCAGCTGCCGATCAACAAACTCCTCGTAGAATGGGGCCTGCTCCTGTCCAGGGGCACACTTGAGGGCTAGAACTCGAACACTTGAGTCGAACCACAGGCTGCGATGAAACTCATGCATTTCCTCCCGCAGTGAAGCATCGGCTGTGCAGAGGTGTAGGCAACTCAGAAACTCTTGACCGATGCCTTCGCTGCTACCCTGTTCTCCTCCTTAGGGCAACATCCGGTGAGTTTCAAAACGACTCCTGAACCAGCGAACTTCATTGGTGCACAAACTGAGCTGGCAATGACTTCGCTCTACCCGCTGGCATCTCTTTGTTCAAGCTTCAGATGCTGCAGCTCCTGCAGGTTGTGTGAAATAGAAGGCTTGGATTCAGAATTCTGCAATGTGTTCCCGAAGAATCCGCAACCAAACAGGCCATGGGTCAGGAAGTTGCTCCAAAAGGCCAAAAGCTCGGCAACTACCAAACCAAATCTGAGGCCCCCGGCTCGGTACATGTTGAGGTACTTGTGTGCCTGCTCCGGGGTGTACCTTTTGAGACTCGCGAATGCACGAGCTCATCTCGAAGGCAGCTTGCTGAGCTTTCGATTTCTTTACAATAAAGTCTTCTCTTCACCTTAACTACAACGCAAGCCTCATAAGCCATAAGCATACCCGCACGCACAAGACCGTGTTTCCCTCGTCTACATACCCGGAATACCACTTCATTCATCCCGACGACCTGGACAGCCCGGGAAACGACCTGCTCGGGAGCACGGGAACTGTGGGCCTGTTAGGCCTTCGAAGGAGAACTTCTCGCAGTAGTGGTCCCAGTCCTGGCTCTCACCCAAGCCGCCACGTTCCGACTCAGACTCACCTTACCAAGACAATCAGTTTCTGCTGGCTCGTGAAGTTGACGAACTAGCTCGCTATCTCTGTGCCTGTGAGCAGCCCCGTGACCAACGAAGTTCGGGACAAGAACAGAAGAATCCCCGAACCGATTCGCACACCGGACCACTTCAAGTGCTTCGAAAGTCTGCACGGTCAACGATCAGGCTTCGGATCGCGATTTCAGTACCGAAGAGAGGGCAAGCATGGTCACGGCCTCCTTGCAGTATTGGATGAACCTCACGGAAGGCTGCCGCTCAACTTGCGTTTTAGCTTCAACCACATGCTGCTGGACACGCCCAAGCCTCGCTTCCTCCTTCGCTTCTATCGCTGTCGAGTGATGGGCTTGACTGTCTGGTGGAGCCCGTCTTTACCATAATTTAGGCTGCAGAAATATGCACTTGCTTCAATGAAGCAACCAGTCACCAGTCTCGAAATGCTAAACCCTAAAGCCTTCGACAAAGATTGGTGCAAGCCGGGGAGACCGCTTGTCGACAGGGTGCAGCGTCCACATGCGCTCAATCTTGATCTGCGAGTGGATGGCACCTGAAAGGGCGCTTCCACTCGTTGCTCTGCAGATAGGCGAATATCGGTGCCTTTCTCTACTGTACTGTAACCAACAAACTTGCCTTTGAGTTTCGGGAACACCACTCTTGAATCTTGAATCTAAACTCCAGGAGAGCGATGCCCTTTGAACTCTGTGAACCTCGTGCATGAGCGTCACTGTGCTCTCGAGATCCGGACCTCTCTCCATTAAGAAAGGGATGATGGATCCAATAAATACTCCGGTCTGCGTTCCATGCCTCCAGCAGACTTGGGACGGATCTTTACAGAGCTCTTTTCGATTCGACCACACGCTGGACATGGCGAGTTCTTGAGCAATGCGACGCAAGTGCTTAGCCATCCTTGTCCTCGACTAGATTCTTGGATTAGCCGTATGAAGGTGAAGCGAATGATCCTGCTTCAGCGACCGCCAGCTCGACCCGGCCTTGCGTCGACCACCTGAGCGCCAGCTGTGAATGCTGCCGTGAGGGGTATGAAATCTCTGACTGCATGCAGCTAAAACAAAGACAGAACCGCGTAGGTAAGCATTGACGGGACAAGCAGAACCCGGTGGCGCACGTAAGCAGGTCTGTAGGTTCCCTCGTCAGTCTCGTCAACTTTGTGACGAGGCCTGCAGCACGGAGCTCACAACTTTGTGCTACACCAGCAAGTTCTTCCGGGCTCTTGCTGAGAACATGGCAGCATCCCGGTTGGAAGGACCTTTTCGAAGAAGTCCTGCTCATTTGCAGTTTCGCAACAATCGGCCTGCTGAGGTGAAGCTGTACTTAACCCTAAACCCTAAATCCTAACTTGAAGCCTGTCCTTGGGGAAATGCATGAAGTGCATGCCCATCTCGGCCCTGGGCATCCAATCGACAGGTCGACGAGTCTACGGCTCTTAGGCTCTGATAGAAGGCTTTGGAGCCATCAGCGATGATGGGGCTTTGGCAAAGGAAGTAATGCCTTCGAAGCGACACCGAACTCCTGCAAGTATTGTCCAATATCAGACAGTATCGGCAACGACTTTCCAAGTTCCGGACCTGCAGTTGAAACTTAATCTGGGGTGGCCACTTGCTGCGGCCCAACCGTCCCCACGCACGCAGAAGCGCTGCAACCCCACTCCCATCAAACCGAATAGTTTCGGTCCAGATGGAACTTTCATTCTTCCCCCAACAGTCTATGGCAGTGCCGTGGGGTTGCTAACTTCAAGGTAAAAGGATTAAATAACAGCCCTCGAAACGACTCGAATCGTGCTGCAGCTTAGCAGCCAGGAAATCGCGCCCGGGGAGAAGCTGGTGCCTTCATGGACGTTACTTCCCTCGATGCCATCACAAGGCTTTGGTATGGGACCATCGCCTTCATACCTTCTAATGCTTTGGAACCAGATGCTGGCCTCCGAAATTCGTCGCCATGACCTCGGTGCTCCAGGGCAAGGGACATTTTCGACTGGGCGGGGAAGCCTTGCTGGTTCAGCGAGACATTCTGAATAACAACGAAACGGAAACTGGAGCTGCTGGCTAGAATGCTAGGACTAAGCAACCGACAGCAATCCAATATGTGATGATATGCGGCATGTCGATTCTAGATTTCTTGCACTCAGGCAGACACCAATTCTCTTTCACGCAGAAAACTTATGTAACTCCATGTAATGAATCTGCGCCCAGCCCAAGTTCCCCACACTGACAGGCTCGGCCACGAGATATCTCCGCGGATCCTCGTTGACCTCCAGCTGCATTCCGCAAGATGTTCATGCGGTGTACAGCCAAGTTCTGAGGATGCACGTACGTAACAGTACATACTTGTCAGGTCACGCTCGTCAGAGGAACGACCACTTAGAGCCTAAGCAGCAGCAGTGGTGGTAATGGTACTGAATGCAGGCAAACGAGAGCCGATCAGCGAACAAGACGGTATTGGCAATCTTGCCAAGCTTGCACCACTTGTACCACCGGGAAGGGAGAGGGCAGTAATGTTGAAAATCTTGGTGACCATGAATGACCAAGATTACCGCCCCCTCCTCCCCAAGTGGTGCAAGCACATGTTATTTTGCAGTTCTGATGGTGAGAGTTGTGGCACGGCAAGTTATCGAACTTTGAATGTGCATCTGATTGTGTTGGCGGCTGCCTCAGAGTTTCGGAGTTTCGGACCGGGCTTCAAAATCCTGAACATTAAAATGCTCTCCTGGCGGTATGATTTGAAACACATTCGCATAGTGGGACAACATCACGCGATCGTTCGCGCGTGGCGCACTGACCAGCCGAAGGAGGGTTTCACTTCTGCTCGGAGAATTCGGTAGCCGGTCATCGTTGTGCTGAGCATGGGCCGAGTACAGGACCCAGAATCCGACCATCTCCTTGACCTTCATGACCCTGGAAAGAGCTTCCAAGATGCTCCAAGGCTCCATGAACTCAGGGACCGCTGGGTCCACCGGCCGATCATTCGACGGATCCCCCACGAAACCGAGGAGCTTGAGGATGCACTGCACGTCTATCCTGGCAAGATGTGTAGCTTTCATCTCCGGTGGCAAAGGATACGGAATCTGGCCAGCATCACTTGCGACCGGACCCGCCTGAGAAACGGCAGATGGCAGCAGCTACGCTTGCAAATAAGCATGCAAGATGCTTAGCATAGCAACTAGTGGGGGCTTCCGGGGTTAGTGTCCAAATCGTCACAGCACACAGGATGCATGAAAGTAATTTTGCGTGTCGAGATTCGAGATAATAATACGTGCATGTCTCGTTGCTCCTGCGACTCTTGCGACAAGTTTCTACTGGATCCCCGAGATCCTGAAAACGGTGTTCAAGTTCGCACAGCACGTCGCTGCAGTACGGAGCTGGCCCTGACTCTAGCTATTCAGCTACCCAGTCCCTGACATCCACCAAGAGCCGGACAATGCAGCGCGTGGTGGCTTAGCCGTTTGATCCCCATGGGGTCCTCGCTCCGTCGTCTGGGGACTTGAGCTGATCCGTGGGCTCAGATTCGGAGCTGCCTCGATCACCTCGAGCTTTCCCCAGGAGATGGCGCAAAAGTAGACGTCACCGATGCCGAAGCGGGCCTGCAAGAGACTGCGCTTCGCACAGTCGCTCGGGAGCCCGCAACCCTGAAAGGGTGATGAATTATGAACCGGCCTTCTGCTGGATGTAGCAGTTGGATCGATTCGCATTTCCTGCTCTCGCGAAGCAAAGCGCTCACTCGTACTCATTCATCTCTAGCCTTGGACGGCGTAGTAGGTCCACACGTCCCAGCCGAGCAGGTCATACCTCGATCCGTCGCTCGTGACTCCGCGACGGACAGTCATGATGCCCCGAAACACTGCTGCTGCCAAAATGTGCCTCAAAACTGGAAAGATGCCCGTGTCATGGCGTGACACTTCAATGCCAAGGTCGTCGACCCGAGGTGAGGGCATGGGCTTCATGGCATGCAGGAAGAGGCTTGCAGAAAGTGCGGACTGCGACCTCGCAAGGATCTTTATCTGCTGAGGCTGGGCAGGGATGTTCCGGTTCAGTCAAGACGACTTAGAGCCCCGCTGGTTCGAAAGCCAGGAGACATAGCGCGGGCACGCGATGTTCTTGCGCCGGCAAACCTTCCGAAATCAGGAAATGCGAGATGCAGGCACGCTCAGACCCAGACTGCTCAGATGCTCGTCTTCGCCAGACTGCTTCCACATGTGTCGTGATTTTTGCAATGAAAACTTGCAGCACTGCCGGAGAAGGCCAGAGCTTGCTGAAGATGCAAATGCACCAAGGGCCCGGCCAAATAGATCTTTTTGCAACTATACTCACAGCAACTTCGAACCTCATTGGGCGAGATTTCAGGCTGCACAGAGTTCTGAACTCACTGCAATGGTCTCTGCTCTTCCTCCCGTGCATGCCAGAGTGGCAGCTTCGTTTCATGTGAGCTGACACTGTTGCATTTCCGCTGGCACCATCTGGGCACCCCGTGCATTTTCCACTGCAAATGCGCCGTGGCCAACGATGGCGATATCCCTGCCGGTGGCCTCGGACATGGACACACGAAGAGCGCAGCAGCTGAAGTGTCTGCGGACAAGCAAGCCCAATCCTAACCTCCCTGCCCCCCGTTCTGCTGGATTTGCACACATCCAGTTCTCGCCTCCTTGTAGCCAAACTCGTCGAACATACCGTATGCAATGGTTCCACCGAACTCATCCTGCATTGACGCCGATCACCGAAAATGGCAAAAGGCAAAAACTGAAGAAAGGAATAAGTGCTTAGTTTGACAATTTTAAGCTTGCTCTGAAGATGTCAGTTTCTCGGGCTGAGAGCGATGGAACAGAACGGCACAGAGAGGCCTCCCCTCTGTACTCTTCTCTGCCTGATGCGGTCTTGCATCGTAACAGGTTCTCAGACCAGATTCTGCTCCACTCGGGCTTGAAAATAGACTTGTCTTACTTTGTCACTTCTCACAACCAGTGGGCTCGTGCTACGCTCGATGCACAAGCTGCACATGCCATCGACACCGCCTCTCACACTCGTAGGCTCCAGACGCGGAAGTGACAGATTCCCAGGGTACATCAACACCCCTTCGGCTGCCAGCTTCTCGACCTGCACTGGGAGCTGCAGCGAAGGGCCGAAGGCAAGTCGGGATGATCCGTGCCTTGCTCTCACCATCGAGCTTCTGGATCGTAACTTCCTGAGGTAAGCTGTGCAGGATTCGGTCTGCAGTTTGTGAAAGGAAGGAGCCCAAAAGAGGCGTCGCTGAGGGCGCGGCATATTTGGTGTCCAGCTTCTGGCCTTCTGCCTTGACGTCCTGCAAGCGCCAGCGAATTTGGATGCCATGAGTGGTCTCTGAGCGCGAAACTCATATGCAACAACATGCCCAAGAGCCTACGAAATGCGAACAAACCGAAGTGCGGAAAGTGACGAAGCCGGCCGGGGCTCGAAACGGTGGTGAACTGCTAACCCAAACCTCCGGACAAAATTTTCCAGTGCCTGCGGGTTGTGGGGTGAACGAAATCTTGACACAAGGAAATTTGCTGATCAAAAGAAACAACGCATGGGCTGGAATTTGAGCTGAGCCAACGCAACTTCGGCTTCAACAAGCTAAGCGGCTTTCACTCAGATTCCGGGCAACTGACTACCTCTAAACAAACTTCTGCCTATCCGATGACTGTAATCCTCCACCAGCGTGGCTTCCCACGCCCCAGTCACTTGTGCATGCTGTTCAAGCTTCGTCTCTGCCGACAAACACCCACTGACCAAAAGGAGCCCTACAAGCACTCAGTAAAATCACAAATACAAACCCTCGTTCACGTGCATGCTCTGTGCGTGCATGTGTGTGTGTGTGTGTGTGTGTGTGTGTGTGTGTGTGTGTGTGTGTGTGTGTGTGTGTGTGTGTGTGTGTGTGTGTGTGTGTGTGTGTGTGTGTGTGTGTGTGTGTGTCTATGTGTGTGTGTGTGTCTGTGTGTCTGTGTGTCTGTGTGTCTGTGTGCGCGTCATGCCTCCGTGTGTCCGTGCCCGTGGCCATGCAAACCTCCTCTGGACTGTATGTGGAGATGTCAACGCATGAAGACCGGCGCGGATGCTTGCAGATGTCGCACCTGGACCTCTGTGCCAAGACGGCAATATGGAAGAATCCCATACCTCTGGTGACAACGGAGGAATCTCAGGTTGCCGGGAGGGGGAGGCTCAGCAAAGATTGAGCGGCTCTGGGTCGAGCTTTAGCTCTTGCAGACCATCTTGGATGTTGGGATCAGCAAGAACCAGAACATCATCTCCAAAAGGCCTCTTTTCCTTGAGCCCCGTCGCTCGTCGGACAAACGTAGCTTCGTGACTCCCGAGATGGGGCTTCTGACTGTGCGGAGATCCGCACTTTCCGATCCGAGCCCCGGCAAGGACCTGTAGCCCCAGAATCTCTGGGGCCAGAACTCCTCCGCCCCCTTCTGGAACATGGCCAGTAGTTCCTCAGTGCTTCACAAGAAAGCAACTATTTGTATCGTCTGCTAGCTTCTTAAGAGCAGGGGAATATGCGAGAATCTCGACAGTTTACTGCGCATCACGGCCGGCAGGAGCTCAACAGAACCCCAAGCAAGTCCAAACGCGGCGTCTTGGTGTGAGGCATCACGAGATGGCCAGGGGTAGTCGTTCTTCGGGCAAGGCAAGGTCTCATCCTCAGCATGCAACTGCGAAAGCTTCCGCAGAACCTGGACCAGCACCTGAAGGTCTAAAGAGTCTGAAACCTCTGCTGGAGTTTCAATGTACAATGCGAGCCATGCATGTTTCAAAGAACCTGCTGTACTGAATATACTGACCCAAGAGCCCTGCAAAGCCAAGGTGGTAGACGCCCAGCTCCGTCTGAAGCTTGGACCTCAGCAGAGGTATGTTCGAGCATCTTTGGGCAACAAAGTGTCCTCTTCTTGCTCTGCGGCCCCGGCGTCACGTTGGCCTGGTCCCACCAAGCCATGCCTCCAACCTCTCCATGTCCGGCATGCCAGATAGCCCGAGCTCTCAAGCGCGAGAGTCTTGAGGATGAATGCGCCTTCGGCTTTCGATCGAAGATCACAAAGTTAGACCTGCGGCTTGGGCTCAGATCGCAGGTCTTGCACTGCGATCAGAAAGGGTCTGTAGTATCGCCCACGGGTTCGGTTGCTCCCAAGTAGACTCAACACACCCAATGCAGAATTCCGTAGCAGCTCCACCATGGAAAACTGATAGCAGCTGTATCATGCGTATCCGGAGCTAATTGCAGGCACTAGACCACAAGTGTGTCACGAGCTCAAGTTGGCGCACTCGCCGTACTTCAAGAAGACCATGGCCTGACCAAGGACAAGGCGAGCTTCTAACGCCTCGTAAAGCCCGGCAGCTTCTTGATGTATGTCTGGCAGTCTGATTCTGCTTAATTTATTTGGTCAGAGGAGTGCCAGAGCGACAGTCTTGACAACAATCACTGCGAGTGGGAGCTCGGCCTGCCGAAGACCGATGTGACCGGCGCCAATAACGACCTCAAACACAGTCGAGCAATGGTAAAGAGATGAGCAAAGGCCACGAAATAGCGATGCTTGCAAACCTGACAGAACAGCATCATTCAATTAGGCCCGGAATATGGTAGATCATCATCCGGCCTTCTCACGGATAAGTAGAACCAGGCTTTTTGGCTGAATCCTTTTTCACCGAACACAAAACTAGCCCAAACCGAGCTGACTTGACAACAGAGCGAGCCCAGCAGCTCGAGTGGCCCCGCAGGTTCGAAAGCGGCCAGGTAGCCAAGCAGGCTTCAAGAAATAGACTGGAGGACAGAACAAGGCCCTCAGAATATCGCATCACCGCACGGGCGAGGCCTAAATTGACAGGAGCCCCGTGCGTGAAACACATTTTCAGGACCCGGAGCCGAACCACGCACTACATCATCTTGGGCATAGCCACATTCATCAACAATTGCTGGGTTGCTGGGTCTAACTATTCCGAAGACGAGTGCCCATACATGGATGCCATCAAGACATCAGCGGTGGCTGCCTGTGGTCTTTGAATGGCGCTGTGCTTCGATAATCACTGTAAACTCCCTCCCCGTGAGAAGCACAAAGGCAGCCCAAGGCACGAAAGGGTGCTCATGCTTGGGCCTTTGACCTTAGTTCACATGAAGTCATGAGAAAGGAAGAGATTCCTCCACAGTTGGATGTCACATTGTCGGAGGCACTGCTTTTCACAGGTCGACGCTTGGAGCCGGACGCTCAAAGGACTGGATGCCCTTCACCAAGACCTGGGTAAAGAAAGCGGCGCAAGACATGCAGCTCCAGGCTGCGATTTTTTCCGACCAACCCAGAAGCCCCATCCGACAGAGAGAGAGAGAGAGAGAGAGCGAGTGAGAGAGAGAGATACATGGAAAAACGCAGTATCTCCCATTGAGAAGACTCTGCATGCTCCGTGTCAAGTGTGCCTTGCGGGCGATCTCTTCGGGGTCTTTGTTTTCCCTCCAGAAGGGGCCTGCAGTGTGGCGGCTTCGGACGCCGCACTCAACTCAGCTTCTTTGCGGCTGTGGTAGTTCCTAGAATACTTGGACCCATCGCTCTGTTCAAGCAGCTTAAGATCACCTTGATTGCATGAAAATACTCTTGTGCATCAGCCTCGTGACTTGTGTAAAGCCGTCACCTATTCTCAAATTCTGCCACTGTGCTTCTGCCTGACCCGTATTTGCGCTCAACTTATCCGGACCGGGTGCAGTGAGCAAGCTCTCTTCTAGGTTGATGGGATGCCGAAAAGCGACGGGGAAATGCTGGAGTTGGGTGGGGGCCAATACCATCCAATACCTATAGACGACAATAAAGGCAATAGCCCCTCCGTTTAAATGCCAACGTCAAAGCACTGCCCACCATGCCTTGTTTCGTGACAAAGGTGATCTGACCTGCACACGCATTGGGCTTGCAAAGCGATGCAAACAAGAAACCATCTTCTGGGCAATGGATCGCAGCTCTGATTTGTGAAACATGCAGCAAACGAACGAATGTCGAGACAGACATACGTGCTTCCAACGGCAATGGTTCACTGCCAACTGGAATGAACTGATGCAACCTTGACTCACGCGATCGAAGACTTGTAAGGGACAAGTTGTTGCCACACGTGCCCGGCGCCCACCTGGATCCATGCCTAGTCTCTCAGAAAGCATCAGCTTGATGTCCCAGACCTCGGTCAGACCCCGCTTCGGCATCGAATTCTCCACTGTGCGAGACTTCTTCAACCACGGATTCTCAGTTCGAGCGCTGCAAACGCCGAGTTGACATCAAAATGCAACGACGCTCCAAAACTGCTTCATTCCGAGGCTACACTGATACTCCGCAGCACGAAACTACTCCTCTGGATCCCAAAAGCCGTACCAGTTCTGAGGGCATTGCCGTTGTACACACCATTGCCGGCATCCGATAGATCTGCGACATCACATGTGCCAGGGCATGCGTTGCACCCCTTTTGTAGGGATATCTGCGCGAAGGCAAGCTGGACCCCGGGCTGTCTCGTTTTCAAGAGCCCAGGTGCGAACCGATTCAAAGGTTGCAGCAGGCCTCGCCGGTGCCGTGGATCCTCAATTCGATCTCCCGCATGGTTTTGCTCATCTCCTCCTCTGCCTCCATCGGATCAAGGAACATCTGAGCTTGGCACAGTCGCACGAGGACTAGGTGACTGGGTGTGTATGACTGTGGCTAAGCTAAGCTCCCACGAGACCAGCTTCCCGAGGTCAAGCCGTTGCAAGCATTGCGTATTTCGCCTCTGCAGCTTACGACGAAAAGCCTGGAGCCAAAGACAAGCTGGCGTCAAGAAAAGGCCCACATGCTGCGGCACTGTTCGCCCGTGATGTCTGGTATCGTCATGGTAGCTTTCCGGGATTCCACAATTCGGTTGCTCCATGGAAGGGGAGCTAACGACCCAGCCTTGCTCTCCTTCTTGACGATGGCCAGCTTGGATGCATCCCGGTGGTTATCCGGGTCATACCTGTACCAGATCGAGCCGCAGTGGGCACTGGGGAGTATCACGGTGTTCAAACGACAGCTTGCGCACATGCCCATCGAGATTGGAGGTCGAGCCGGCATGGCTGCCTCCTTTGAAAATAGCTCTTAGCTAGGCTGTGGCGTTTCGCAGAGCACACCGGTCTTCCTTTGCTGACCGTTTTGTCTCCGAGGACTTGAAGGGTAAACCAGACGCTTCTTGGTCCTAAGGCTTGGGTCAACCTGCTGTTTCTCTTCTGCTCTAAATCTGCTGTTGATCTGCCATGAGTGGCGACTGCGGGAGCAGCGCAGAAGGGCTCAGCGAGATCTGGCTGACTATCGATCCATTCCTGAAGTTCTCGCTAGCTTTTCCGCTTCGTCGGCAGGCTGCATGTTGATCTAAAACCAGGTTTGGAGTCGCCAGACGGCACGAACCGAAACCTCGATATCACCAAAAGGAAGCGGCCATTACTGCCGCAACAAGAGATGTCTGGCGAATTCTAATTCTACTGCACACAGAGCCCTTCAGCCAGTCCTTGCTCGCTTACTCGCTCTTGTTGCCATGAACATAGCGAGCCATGCCAAGTTCAAAAATGATAAGGAATGCAACGCAGCATAGAAGTTGCATGCCGGCGTTGAAATCTTGTCCCCGTTCTCCTCCAGCCTCAATGATGCTCCGGGCTCCCACTGCACCCAGACCCAGGAAAGCGTTGATCAACATGTCCATAATCAGAGCGATTGAACTCGCTTCGAAGAACAGGTTTGAGCCACCGTGAGGCACAAATCGCATCATGAAACCTTGCGCCAGCCCTTCGCTCAAGTAGATGGATGGGAAAATGATCATGTCCCCAAGAACAAGCGAGTAGCCACCAGGCAGCAACTTGCTAGCTGCACGGAGAAGTAGCACGGTGCCCAGTGCTGCAGCCACCGTCAACAAGCGGATCCATGCGACCTCACTCAGCTGACGCCCGGCACTCATCTGAGCCAACCTTATCGGAATGCCCACAAGAAAGGCAGCACCTGTGATCAGTCCGGTGGTAGCTATGCTCCAAGCAAACCGGTCCTCGAGAAGAAGTGGTGTGCCCACCTCCACGGAGCCTGCAACGAAGCTGCGGAGTGCGCACAGCACCAGGCCTGCTATAATGGGAATCCTGTTGAGCGGTGCATTCTCGTGCTCTGAAATTTCTGCGACATGGACATCTTTACTGCCGACTTCGGATGGGTAGAAGAGGATGACGGCGCACAACCCGGAGGATAGCAGAATCAGCTGAATGATACCAACAGTCTTAAACTGAGGTGCCGTGGTAAAGCAAACATCCAAGCTGTAGCCTGCTGCAGAAGCCAACGGGCCCAAACCCGTCCCGACAGTGACATAGAAAATCGCACGCTGGAACTCCTGAGGCAAGTCGTCTGGCGGCGTCAACTTCGACAGGAGCACAATCACAAGCTGTGTCACGATGCCATTGCCGACTCCGATGATGGCACGGGACACACAAAGGAGAATCGGCAGCGAAGAATCCCTTGCACCAGAGTCCTCTGATACTCGCGAGAGAGTCACCAGGCAGAGTGCTGACCCTGCTGACATCACTGTCATCCCACAAATCATGGCCTGGCGACTGCTGGTTCGCCAGAAGTCCGACCAATAATTGAGAGGGAAAGCACACAAAAGATTCCCGATCATGTCACCCCATTTGGAAATGCCAAGGTAAAGGCCTGACCAGGAAACGTTTTGGCCAAGAGCAATGGCAAGAGCATGTGAATCTGGAACGCTGATCATGCGAGAGGTTGCAGCCAGAACCGTAATCAGCATGAAGAGGTCCACAATGCAGCGGCCTGAGGATACAGATGTCGAATGCACACCGAAGGAGGCGATCAAGATTGCGCAGAGACATCCGGCTGCCAAAGCTGGCACAAAGCCGACCTGGAAAGGGCAGCCTGTGCTGTGAGTCTTGACCTCCAGCTGCAAGAAAGAGCAGGGACTTTCTGCAGCCAGGGCCTCAGGGACTTCGGATGCAGCTTCGATTGCTTGCTGCTGGGCCTGCTGGGCTTGGAATATGTCCTCGGCACTGTCAACAACCTTCACCAGTTTGCCCCAGCGCCCTGCTCCGAGAAACTGCGCAGTCTCCATGGTGTCGATAAACTTCACCAGGGGTGTCCAGAAGGTGGTGTTTAGAAGATACACGGGCTTGCTGTGTGTGCCCAGATGGGCAAGAACAACCGCATCGGCCAGCTCATCAAGAGTTCCCAAGCCGCCAGGGAGTGCCACAAGAAGGTCAGCAAAATCGACCATAGTCTGCTTGCGTTCGTGCATTGTCTTTGTGAAAATCATGTGAGACAAGTTTTTGTGTTCATGCTCTGCAGTCAGCAAGTTGCCTTCTGGGCGAACCCCGATTACATAGCCACCTTCCCTCAGCACTGCATCCGCCACAGCACCCATTAGGCCTGCATTGCCGCCGCCGTACAACAGTCCGATGCCGTTCTGAGCCAAGAGACGTCCAAAATGTTCGGCAGAAGCTCGGTATGAGGGATCGGACCCGTAACTGGCGCCCATATACACTGTGCACCATCGCCGAACAGGAAAAGACCATGGTCCAAGACCACTTGCATCATCAACATCCTCAGGGCATCCCGAGTTAAAAGCAAGGAGAGAGGGAGGGAGAAGGAGAGGGAGCGAAGGAGAGACACAGAGATCGCAAGAGGTACTGACCAATGCCGATACCTCGAGGTGTACAAAGACTGATTCACTTAGCATCAAGAACCACATTTTTATCACTCAATTACAGACAGCATCAAAGCCTTCAAACGTTCAGTCCTGTCGTGAGCGCCGCAGCTCATCCCGCAACTCTTCGCACGAAAAATTCTGATGGTTGTGCTGTAGGAGACCCGATGGTATGGCATCCAGCCAAGTTAGGACGGTGTCAGCTGATGGGGAGCCTGTGGCTTTCACGAGCTCTGGAAAAGTGAAAGGAGGCGAAGGGACCAATTCCTCCTTGCACTCCGCTTGCGCCAGTGCCCCAGCCTGATGGAAAGGGACACAAGACACCCTGGTTGGCAGCGGCGTGGGCGAAGTCTCTCTGAGGCTCGAAGGCTGAGACGCGGACGTCCAAGAGTGTTCGTCCAAGTATTTCAAAAACGCAACGAAGAACTGGAAGCGATTTGCTCCCAACTGCAGGACCCGCTGGCCCGCAGATAGTGCAGCTCGCAGATAGGCCATAATGTCGAATGCATATTGGGCACCTGACTCGGGTAATCCTGGAACGAGGAAGTCATGAAGACTCGAGGTTTCACCGGATGCCACAACGCCAAGCCCCAGAGGCTCTCTGCTGGGAACAGCGTGTGGGTATCTGAGCATGTCAATACCGTGGCCTTGTTTCAGGGAATAGCCCACATATCCCATGGGACCCATCGTTATATTCAAATGACGGATGGAGTTCACAGCGAGAATGGTGGCATCCGGAAACTGCGCTTTCAACGATTCCATGGCAAGCCCCAGAAACTGGCGGCCGGAAAGCGTGCCCTCTGAAATGACACCCTGCTCATCGACATCGTGGTTCCATAGTCCTTTGCGAGTACTGAGGATTCGAGGAAAGGAACTGCTGCTTCATGCTGTCTCACACACAATAGGTACGGCTTCTTCACACTTGTGTTATTAACGAGCATCTCCATGATACCGCACGCCTCCTCCAAATTATGTCTGTATGCTTGTTGCTTTGTACCGACGTGGATGCATGGATGGATGGATGGATGGATGGATGGATGGATGGATGGATGGATGGATGGACGGATGGACGCATGGATTTGTGGAGGGAGGGAGGGAGGGAGGGACGGATGGAGTCAGAAACATGTTCCCAAGAGGCGTTTCCCTCGAAATCCCAAGCATTCGCTTGACATTTATTTACGCCTTTGAACCCATAAAGCATTCCGAATTCGGGGTCCAGAGTCCCACCAAGAGAATCACACCTGGATGTGGCAGCAAGCCGAATCTGGCTTTCCAGGTTTCATAGGCTTCGAAAAGATTCCATCTTTCCTGAACCTGACACTGCTCGTCCGTATGCGGGCAAGACTATTACGACCGGCAGCACTCTACGAGGCTGGCTTTGATGATGGACTAAGGCAACGGAGGACTAAGGCATTGGAACACATACGTAAACAGAACATGTTTCCAGTATCGCCCTGGTCAACGGTGATGCCACGTTGCTTCAAGTACTGGATGTTGTGCCGAGCCTGAAGGGTGATGGCCATGCTCTTTGACTCGTGTGAACACAGAGACCCTCATGGATCCTCAGGAGGTGCCTGACTTAACTTACGGGTTGGCCAGGCTTCTACCTTTCCTGCTAGAGCCCTGGTTCATCCTAACCGAAGTCCCACTGCGGCATCACGACGACCCTGAGCTGCCTTAGCTGTACTGCCTCTGCTACCATTGCTACCACTTCCATCCCGGATCCCCGTGCCGCTCCTGCCGCTCATACGGTGTCAGGGCTGGTGAGTCATCAGCTTCCGCAGGAGAACCCAGCATGAACTGCAGATCCGTGGCCACCAGACGAGCACCGCCGAAGTCCTGCTTCGGACGTTTTGATGCTGTGTTCTCTTCCGTCAAAAGGGAAAGGCTGATCATGGCTGATCAGAAACATCCAGCCAGCAACTTCCGGGTCCCCTTGTTGTGTTCTCAGTCCTGCTCTGCAGCATCGGCAGCGTCGGCTCTGAGCAGCCATGGCAGCCACCAAAGCAGGAGCGCCGGCGACATCAGCACATGACACAGGCCAAAAACAGAGCCTTGCTTACCAGGGCTTATAAGATCACTTCGGGGCTGCAGCACGACAGATGCGAAGCTGCACAGCTGCACCGTTCGCAAAACTCTCGTGGTCAGGAGGCTTTTTTGCGCTATGTGATGGCTTATTGCTCGGATGAAGGTTCTCGCGGCATGCATAGACTTTTAGGACACGGCCGCAAACTAAGAACGAAGCAAGCCCTAAACGAAAGCCTGTGTGGCGAGCTGCGCCCTTCCAAGGCTTCGAGGGCTTGGGTCCGCTACGAGTGCAATGGGCTGATCAGAGCTCAGGCACGCTTTCAGATCAGCTCTGATCCGCCCCTACCACTATTTACATTCATCAATGGCGACCCGGAGCTACGACCTCGAAGCTCGAAGCCGAAGCAGGGGCCTTCTGTGTACAACTTCTGCCTTGGAGGCATCCTGTGCATCTCGGGCCCTGCGGTGACATGACTGAGATTGGCTGACCCTGTCTCCAGTTTCTCCGAGGAGAGCCGAGGGGCACAGTGGCACAGGGCCCGTGACTTATGGTTCCTGCTGCGCCGAAAATATCGCCTGCTCAGAAGTGGCTAAGAGACGCTCCTGAAGCGCACGGGTAGCGGGAGCTGCGGCAACTGAACTAGCCAGCCGGCACCACCCTGTCATCCACGCCGAAAATTCCCAGCTTTGGGACCAAGGGGAGGCCCAGTCAAAAGCATGCTTAAATCGAATCTGGAGAACCCCGGACTGAGCACATCGCCAGAACGCCCGACCTGGATGGTGCGTCGTGCTACCAAAACATCCAAGAAGACATCTTTTCATATTGACCTACAGCGGCGTACATCCTTCAACAGGTAAGAACCATTTGCATGTCTGCAATGATGAGTAGAGGCACCAGGCACAACTGTGGCAAGGGTGTGGCACAGCGCTGTACTTTAAAATTGCAACCCATGGGCGAGATCAACGTGCCCTTCCGACAGATCGCTCGGTGGGGGGGCTTCGCACGTTTTATGCATTGGCAACAAAACCCAACCCGCCGATCAATCTGTACAGTCCATTATTCCTGTCCCGACTGAGTGCTCCATGGTCTTGACAAGTCTGAACTCACAGCCTAGAGCCCAGCATAGAAATCGAGAAGTCATGCTGTGGCCCGCACACAGTTTCTGGCGCCAGGTCAGCAAACACTTTCGAGGCGTGACCCCTCGGACGGCTTGTAACTGGTCTCATCGTACATAGACAACTGCAACAACCTAGCGCAAAGATTCTCTTACATTCCTTTCACAAACACTATACTTGCAGCTGAGGCTCAGAAGCACGAATGTTGATGCTAGACGCAACGACGCCACGTCCACTCCTGTCGCACACAGCCGTTGCTTGAACACACACCTGGAGCTGATGCTGCGCTGATGGGTGGCACGAGGCAGCAGCCTACACCCGACGGCCTTCACCACTTGCACCAGCACTGATCGAGAAGACTTCCTTTCCAAGCCAGGCGTAGTGCTTTATGCGAAGGCCTCGATCCTTGCACCTTAGCCTCAGTCATTGCCTCCTCAGCCAAGTGTCGAGAGCCAAACCGGGGCTGGAGGGCAGTAGCGGAAAAAGGGCCTGGCAGAAGGCCACCAGACGCATGCAATACTGGCAAATGACAGACATGTTTTTTTGGCAGGAGATGGTTCAAAAGGACATGGGCAACAGGACGCAGCCGCCTTCGATGTGGCCTAAAGCTACATGCAAAGCAGCCGATCCCTCCACAAACTCAAATTCGTCATGCATGCTACGGCGCAGAACTGAACGGGTTCACTCTCTGTGACACTCTGTGGCCCGGGCAGCTTGTGCCAGGTCCAAAAGAGCCTTGGGCAGCTTGTAGATGGCAGCTGCGCGAAAGAGCTCAACCTGTTTTGCTGTTGCTGCCCAAGTTCAAAATTAAAATAGCTTGAATGTAGAGGTGGCTGACTTCCTTGACGCTTGTGTGCTACAAGGGGATGATTCGTCTGCACTTCGCTGGAGGAGCAGGCCAGAGCCCACCAGTACTGGAAGCATGAAGCACTTGCTGACATCATCATGCCGAAAATTCATCTCGTCTCCCAAGGCCCGTGAGGTGAGGATGGATCTCGAGGTCGCTCCCCCACCCACCCCACACCCATGGCTTTCGACACAGGCGGACTGCAGTTCTGTGGCGGAACGCCATCGCGACAACCAGACACAAGACCCATGTCTGGGTGCACCACCAGCTTGGCAGGATCTTCCACGAAGGGGCAATGCCTTTGATGGAGAGACTTTGCTGGAGAACGGGTACATGACTTCTCTCCTAAGTCCACATCCAACTTTCTGCTCAACCTCTTCAGGGATTCGCAGCACCCCATTCGAGGCTTGCACACCATTCCAGTGTAGAAGAACTGCAGAACGGCCCTGGGAACAAGAAAGACATCGAAGAAGAAAGTGTGCATAAGAACATCTGACTTGGTACACCACAGCAAAACCCACATGAAGCAAAGGCAGACAAAAACAAAGAGAACATGCGCGCAGGGCGGAAAAGGCGCAGTATTGTGTAGAAGATGATCCAACACATGTTCCTACTTGTCAGCTTGTCGAGGCAGCAGAAACGGACAGCGGGACGAATTCAACTTGTGGGAAATTCATCGCGACCCCCAGTTGCTACGACTGTGAGACTCACAGACAGTCCACAGTGTGCTGGACGGCCTCCACACATCTTTGGAGATCCGGCGGTCGACCTTGAAGACAGCAGCTGTGATCCCTTCCTGGCCAGTTCGCGGACCGATGCAATACCCGCAAGTTCAGAGCTACTAAAATACTAGAAGCCGAGCTGTGCTAGAGACCGGCTGCGATTGCGAGCTGCATCGTTGGGCCTGCGGCAGCTCCACCAAGGGCAGGGTCTCCAGCTCCTGGTGCTAGCTGCTAGCCCTCCGCAGGCCCGTTGCGCAGCCCCTTCTCTCTCATCTCTTTTCATATCTTTTCATAGGCCTTCAGCAGCACGGGACTCTGCGCCCCCACGACCACACGATGGGCGAGGAACCTGAACAGCCGCGCGCCATTCTATTGCAGCTCTCTCGAGCCCCTCTTCAGCTCGCCTGCTGTGAGTGTCTGGGCCCGTGGTGACGTCGAAGGCGACGTCGGCAAAAGGCACCCGCCCTGCAGCTTGGAAGCGTGATTGCTTTCGGCTTTAGTGGCGCTGCGACAGCAGTGAGGAGTGCTGGCCTGTCGAGTCCGGACCTGAGCAGCAGCACGAAGCACGGAGGCAACCAAGCAGCCCCAGCCCGCATGAGGCGCCCTCGAGGGGTTTCACAGAGGGGGCTAGCCGTGAACTTCCGCGCACCCCGCGCTTGCAGTGTCAACATCTAATCCCCGACACCGTGGCGTAGCATGCGGCAACGGTGCACCCGGCTGCAACGTAATCTATTTTCCGGGCGCCTTCAGTTTCTTGAATTGGCTGGGGAATCGTGCCCACATTTACAAAGAAAGTGCAGGACAGAATACACTTTTGAGTAGCAAATATAAGCAACAAATGTTTGCTTCGAGCTCCGCTCTGACTGCAGCAAAGCGCTAATTAGGCACCCTCTTCGTAGATAAAGACTTTACATCCATCACCACAGTCTCCCGAGTCGTCGGTGTACCAGGTTTGGGCAGTGGCTCCAGCCGCCAAGCGCCAGCGGCCCTCTGGAGATGTGAACCAAGCTACTGACTTGATTTTAGAGGTGGACTTGACAAAAACATTCTCCTGCTGCAGCTCCTTGTCGTAGGTGAAGACTTTGTCGTCCCGGCCGACGGCCAGGCGCCCGTCACCGGACCAACTCAGAGACGAAGGGACACCACCAGAACCGCTGAGCAACGTGATCAACTTCAGCTCCTTGTCGTACACGTAGACATTCTGGTCAATGCTGCCTGCTGCCAATCGACCATCCGCGGCCCAAGCAACCCTTGTGACCCAGTCTGTTGGCTCTTGTAAGATCTTTTCCAATTGCAAATCCTGGTTGTAAATCAGAATTGTCTTGTTGTCGGTTGCAGCGGCCAACCATCCATTGGAGGACCAAGAGATCTCACTGATGTCTCTTGAAGAATCCCACAAAAGTGTAGGGGCCTTCTCGTTCAGCTCAGCCTGGGTGTAGACGTAGACTCTGTTGTCATTGCTGCTCACTGCCAAGCGCCCATCTTGGGACCATTCCAGCGAAGTGAGGTCGCCAAGTCCCACTCCGAACGTCTCCAGCAAATCCAAGTTCTCGTTGTACAGGCTGACTGAGTAGCTTGACAAAACAGCCAAACGACCGTCAGGAGACCAGGCCACATCAACCAACATGCCAGCTCCGATGCGCAACGCCTTGATCAAACAAAGCTCCTTGTTGTAAACGTAGACTTTCCAAGAGGCCACCGCCAAGCGGCCATTGGACGACCAGGCAACCGCAAGCGCGGATTTATCAGGATCGGCCAAGATGTTGATAAGGCGCGCCTGCTGCCACCCTGCAGGCTCTGAGGTGAAAGCAGAACACTTAGTGCCGGTCGATGTCTCTTCAGTCTCTGCAGAACATCCTGAAAGCAAAAGCACGAGAAGTAGCAGCAGTCCAAAGACTGCAGTGAACGATGCACTTTTGCCCTTTGTTTCAGCCATGTCCTCAAGAAGTGTGGCCTTTGAGCAAAATGCGCTGTCTCGGCGTGCAGTGAAGTCCCGAAATATTTTTTCCCGCCCCCTTCCGAACGCGTCTTGCAACGCATTCATCTCGACTTTGAAAGGTTCAGTGCGTTTTTTTTTTTCATCGCCGCCCCTCCCGGCATTCCCGCCCTTCCCGCGCCGGCATTCATCTCGACATGGACATTCGAAGGGTCCCAATGCCGCGCTTCCGCCCTTCTCGCCCGCCCTCCTTCCCGCCCTTCCCCCTTCCCTCTTTCCCGCCCTTCCCGCAGTCCTTCAATCGGCTGCCGATCTCTACACGCTTCTCGCCCCTCCTTCCCCTCCCGCCCAGAGAAGTTTTGAGATAAAGCCGAGTTTTGTTTCTCTTGCAAGCCTTCATTGCATGCTATTTCATTCTCAAGCCCGGTTCCGGGATCAGGGTTTTTTGCACGTTACATCTGATCCGGTGGGTGGGGAAATCTGACCGGGATGGGGTTTGCATGCTTTCACAGCTTTCGGGCTTCGCGCCGGTTAGAGGGTTTGAGGCGGCCTCGAGTTGGGCTTCGGTGTGCTGCTCGAGCTCGTTCGGATGGCTGGCTGCTTCGATGAAAAGCCTGAGGAGTTATTACAAGTTGGACTGACAAGACCTTCTACGCGACCCCTCTGCTGTGCCACAGAAATACCTGGATTTAGTATTTGGTCGGCGGCGTGGAAACGGACGACAAGAAGGAACCGGAATCAAGCGTGTTCTTGTCAGGCCCGATCGTCTCCACCCATGAACCCATAGACAAGGGATGTTCCACCATGCCCTGCTTGTGCACTGTAGGACGTTTATCGCCGACAACCCCATTCTCGTAGCGAGACCTGGTGGAAAGGCCGCAACTCAACATTGACGCCACGGCAAAGTGCTCGGGGATCTTGGCAGACTGCGGGAAGCCTTTGGAGCTGCGTGGACTGCGAAAACGACGTCTGGTTTGGCTTCAGAATTCCAGTCGCAGTGGCAGAATGCATTAGGTGCTCACTCCAAGCACTAGGAGACTATCTACAGCTTCTGAACCTGTGGGTGAAGTACCATGATCTGGGCAGCAGCTGGAGCAAAAACTCACAGACTCATCACGACTCCAAACCTGTCCCAGTCATCCTAGTCTCGTTGTCTTGAAGTGGCTGCCTGGCTGACGCGGATTCGGCAAGCTTTGCAGCAGCTGGCGCAGGGGAGGCTTCCCCTGGTCCGCCTTGGAGCTGAGCTAAGAAGCCCGATTTACAAAAATCCTGAAATGCAGCCACCCAGCTATCAGCTTCACCTCAACCGCCCTGCCCCTCTCTTCGCGTCAGCACGGAGCAGGCCTCTGGTGAACAGATCAACACCTCCCAGGCAGCTGACATCGGACTGATCAGGATGGGAGGTGCTGCCAAGGAGAGTCGGACTCTACGAGTACAAGCTCCACTGCTGGGCGGTCACTGGGCCTTCATCTGCTCTGGATATCTCAAGGCGACGTGCTTCAAAACCTTTGCCAAGCAACATCCAACAATGAACGCTCACATCGTAACCTCAGCCACACCCGCCGCTATCACAGACGGAGCTGGCCCGGTGCTCGAGTCATCGCTTTTCATGCCGCATTAAGTGCGCAGAGTGCAGAGAAACACGAAGCACCACCGGCTGTTGGTGTAGCCTCGTGCCAGCAGCCAAAGCTACAGCTGCGCATTTCAGATGGCTCATCGCTGCTCTATAGTGAGTTCCGCATCTCCATGATTGAAAACGGGACTCTGGCTAGGATCACAGGCTTCACGTGTGGAAGGACAACTTCGTCGGCGAGCCATCGCGGCTCTTTGCTGTGGGTGAATTGCTGGGCGTCCGATCACGGGCAGTGCAAACAAAATCCAGCCTCCCCGTCCATAGTGAGTTGTGCAGGGTTTTGCAATTCACAATCGTGGCTCTCATGGCATGGTAGGTAAAGGGAAGCACGAAGGACTGCAGGACCCAAGCCAGCCACCGGGGGCGATAACGTGACGTCAGCAAGGCTGTTGCCCATCTCAGAGACATGGGGAGCACGATCAAGCACAGCACAATCACGGGCAGGTTCACGGTCAGCCCTGCGATGTCCAGTCGCAGCATGGGGTTGAAGATGTGCGGCCGAGCGATCATGACGATTGCACCCAGGACTTGCCAGACAACAAAGGGGCTCCCCTGAAATGGCTTCTCGGCCCAATCCGTGTTGAAGATCACCATCTTCTTGAAGAGCGAGATGTGTTTGGAGCGTGCTACCCAACTCAGTGCCTGCGTCTTCTGCATCTGCCCACTCTCCCAGCGGACCCGCTGCGACACCAAACTCCCCAGGCTCGGAGGCACTCGCTCCTGGCAAAGCATATTGGTATCCAGAACACCCTTGAAGCCATGGAAAGCGGCAGCCCGGTACATCGCATCATGATCCTCTGCAAGAGTTCGATGGTCGAAGCCTGTCTCCTTGATGGCATTCGTTCGCCAGAACGATCCACGGCCATTACAGAAGGGCAGGTTCAAACTTCCATAGACCTCTTGGAAGACAAACAAGACCGAGTCGTAAGCCGTGATGAGGGGGCCGACCAGAAAGTAGCCTGCATCTTGGAGCCCAGCGAAGTCCTCCCAGCAGTGTACGAGATAGCACTGCGCGGTATCAAAGTTCCTTGGTGCTCTGATTCCACATGTCATGTCGCCTACAGGCTCTTTTCAGCTGCAGACAGAACGGCTATGTGCTATCCAAGACTCTCCTCGAAGAGGTGCAGGGATGCACGGCACATAGTCGCGGCTGAGACCATTGTATCCATGTCATTGAACCTCTGCTCCGCTCGTACTGAGAGGGAGGGGGAAAAATGGGGGCTGTGAGTTGGCTGCAAGCAAGCAGCAGAGCAAAGTCAGTCTCAAGCATCCCTATGGCCATGTTCAGGTTGTCGCATTTCGTGGTAGAGAGCCTGTTCCGGTGCACAGAAAGTTCAGGCCACTCTGTCTGAAGCTGCTCCAACATCTCTTCCATCTCCGGATGCTCATCCGGTGAATTCCATACCAGCATCAGGCGGAAGTCTCCAGGGTATTTCGACTGCTCTGTGCGGTAGGCAGCCAAGCAGTCCATGAGAATATCCTCCTCGTTGGGCATATAAGCCGGGATCACCACTGTGATGGAACGGCATTGGTGGTTGGCCAGGCGGGCCTGCATCAAACCGCACGCACATGACCTACCCGAACCGTGTTCTGCACTCTTCGGGTTCCCGGTTTTTACCCTGCCCCTTCACATGCCCCCTTTCTGCGCACCCTACACCATCCACCTGTCGTCCCCCAAAAAATCTACAGCCGGAGCTCCCCAGCTGGGAGACAAAGGAGGGAGAGCAGGGGCCGCCTGGAGCTCTGAACCTTCGTCCATCTCACCAGCAAGGCATGGAGCTTCGAAGGGCCCAGTCCTGCTCAGTGCATTCCAAGGGTCCTACTTGGCATCTTCGCAGGTTGAGAAATTCGAAATGTTTCGCCCTCTAGCTGTCCTGTAGGCGTGAGGAAACTCCACTTGGGACCACCATTGGGCCATGTTCAATGGCACCGTCTGAGTCTGCACGATGACATTCGGCAGGAACGAGGCAATCTGCACCACGATGGCAATGCAAACGAGCTTTGAAAAATCTTGATCGCTAACATACTGCAGATCTTGTTGTGGTCCCGATGAGAAGATGTACAGGACCAGGAACACCCTGGTGCTGTATGCAGCCATGCACACTGCTGTGACAAGGCCTCGCATGTACTTGCTCTGGATTTGGTGGCTGATGCGAGGCCCGAGCCATCCATCTGTGGCATACGTATCCATTTTCTTGGGGAGAAAAGGCGGCAAGCGCAACGGGTGGTCAACGGAAAGTTCGCAGACCATGCCAACCACCGAAACGAGGGGTAGCAACAGAGCTGCGCCCAAGAACAGCCAGGGGTTTGCAAAAATGGTCCGACGAATTAAGAAGTAGCGCAAGGCTTGCAAGCTCTGCCACAATGTGACCAGATGTCGCTGCTGCTCCCAACGTCCAAAAGCAAGCAGGAAGATCGCAGAGCTAAGTGTCTCGAACATCATGCTTAAGACTTTGTCTCTCTCCAGGCCGGGCAGTGCAAATCTTTCCGAATCCTTGTGGGCAGGCGAAAGCAAGAAGAGCAAAATAATGTTGCCGAGGATGTCTACCAGGCAAATCAAAGTGACCAAATCTGGCCTTCCCACCTCCGATCGAGCAGGCCACAGGCCGGCTTGCGCGGCTTCAGCATCGCGTGATACGGACTGGCGCGTTGCAGCTGCATCCGAAGCATCCGGCGATGGACTTGCCGGGCATCGTCTAGCACAGCAGCAGGCGCATGCACAAAGCACGAGCCCACAAGCTGGGATAAGAACCGCCACCGAGGACAAGATGACGGCCAGGCTTGCTGTTGAACGCAAAACTGCGAGCATTGGGCCACTTGATTCAAATTTGGACTCGATAACGGTAGGGCGGCGCCATCTGGGCCTGTGCTTGAACATGATCATAGCACGGTTGCCGAAAGGAGGGATATGCCACACCCCACTTTCCTCCACTTCGGGCACTGCCTTCAAGTCATTCCAGCCTGCCCTAGGCGGCTTCACGTGGACAGCAGTTGATTGGAGCAGTCCTACACCACCTTGATCATCACAATCGAGGACTGAGCACTTTGGGGTTTGTAAGTGCTCCGTGCCCCAAGCTGCCGGAACGACAGCAAACACGAAACTGAAGTGCAGTGGAAGCGCCAAAAGTCGCAAAAACTGCCATCGCAGCATCAGCGAAACATGGACTACGGTGTGCCAGAGTGCGGACAGCACTGCTGATGGATCGGCTGGTAAACAGCAAGCAAGCATGCATAGGACCCAGCTCATCTGTTAATAAGTATCAGCTGTGCAGATCAGTTGGTTTAAGCTTCAGAGCTGGGGACCTAAGCAAGGACTTCAAGTCTTCACTCCAACACCTGATCTGGGTTCTTACAGACAAAGTGGGACCTTATATGCCCATGTAGTGTAGGCAGCGCTACACACGTCGTCACGAGTCTTGCGATCTTAGTTGAAAGCACCAAAACTACCATCTATCCAGGATTTCGACACCTTGCGTGTCATGACCAGATACCGTAGGTCACCACCAGTCAGCAAACCCTCTCCGCAGACACCATGTCCACTGTGGCTCGTACCCAAAAATTCAGTGTTGCGGCGGCCAACGCCAGGAAGCTTTGTCCGTTCGCGTTCGCCTCTGATCAAGCCAGTATCTTGGAACATCTCGCGAGACTTGCATGCTGCATGCTTGCATTCAGAAGAACGTCCGCTTTCTTCCTCTCTGTCTCATTTGCATCCTTCCTTGGATCCCCATGCCCCTTTCCACGAGGTACAGCAATCCGCTGGGCTGTCGAAAGAAAGCATGGCCACAGTCATATGACAGCTTCAATACTTTCATACTGAAGCTTGAAGTTGCGAAGGCCTCACCTGACCGCAAAACACACTTGCAGCACAGGACTTCGGACTCCATTTATTGCGGTCATCCCAGGAAGTGGAAGGCACAGCAAATATGATTACTTGACCCGACGGGAAGGTATGTGATTCGGTGGCCACTGCACTTTCTCTAGGATTTATTTCATTGGCCGTCAGGCTGCTAGGCCCGGGCGTCCGTCCACCATTCGTTCTGTTTGTTGTTCCTGTCTTAACCAGAGGTCGCCCCCCCTTCGCCAACGATAAGGACCGGATGCAGCAGGATATGAGCTGCCCACAGTTGCAGAAAAAGACAGGATTGCCGGGATGAGGTCGCAACGAGGATCGATGTAGATTTTGTAGGACGTCAACGACCTCTCCTCCAAATTGTGTTTCAGATGAACGGGTCTTCAGCCCGATGTTTTCTCATGCAGCTTATTCCGGAAGACGGCCAACCGATTTTCTAAACAACCTCGGCATCACACCTTCTTCGCTTGCACATTGTGTCGGTATGTGTTGGTCGTCATGCTGCAGTGTTCCCCGACTGTGACCTGTTCCGACAGAGTCGCCGCCCGTAGACAACGAATCTCTCGCAATTATTCCCCACCCCCCTGTTCCAGAATCTTGTAGGGTCAAAGAGGCCCTAGCGCGTGAACGCATCACAGCTGCAGGTCTTTGCCACATCTGCGTGAAAGTCCCTTCCAGAATCTTGCTTTTCGCCGTGCTGCTTCACTCGGGGTATGAGGGGGCCAAAATCGCAAAATCAGAGCCCAAGCGCTCTTTTGACGGGCCGACCTTGCTGAAGAGAGCTGCCGGGACTGCTTCAGCCACGCGCTTGAAGAGGCCGGCAGTCTCTTTCGTAAAGGGCCTCGCCAAGACGGTGCCCCAAAACATGTTCGCTCAGGCATGAGTGCTTCATGAGACGCGTCAAACCTGTCGTTCATCCAGATGCGGAGCCAGCAATTACACGTGGAACACCAACACCGATCGGACTCCGTTCATGCACAAAGCACCATCTGATTTGGATCACAACTGACCTTTACAGAGACTCTTGCAACAGATGCACGATGCCCAGGCGAGAAATCCGCGGGCTAAGCCTGCACTGGCATAGAAGATGCAGAAATGTATCCCCTTTGCGCGGATGCACCTGCGTGGCTGCGCGGCTGGCCGTGAGCAGGGTGAAGACTGTTATGACTAAGCCAACTAGCGCCGTGAACCTGTGCTCTTCGGCAGCAAGGAAGTTCATGACTTTATAAGTCTAGAAAAGATGCGGGGTGTCACGGTGTCATGGCAATGGCCAAGCTGCCCGAGGCAAGGGAGATATGTTGATGACAGCGTGAACAAGCGAAGCCAGAAAATGGCCGGAAAGCGTGACTCCTGAGGCAGCAAAAAGAACCCTCAAGTAGAACTCACAAGAGAGGGGCGACGGGGCCTCCGAAGCATCAACGCCACCCTGCCATCAAGCGGTATGCCAGTCCAGGGCCGTTGTGTGACGAACAGGATCTATGTTCGCAAGTGGCATGTCACACGGCGCCCTGCATGTGCAAATATAAATGGCGATTCCCTGTTGTGCAGTAAACCATTTTTCCCCGCGAGGTATGGGTGCTGAGAAGAAGCTAAATCAGTCTCCGCAGCTGCCCCCGGCTTGTCTCACAGCAGGGCGACATTCTCGGGCGCCACAGACTGCCAGCTGTGCGTTTGCGGCTACTCAGAAACATGAGGCTACGCCGGGAGTTGTAGTCCTTGGCACCTGTTTACAAACATCGGACGCATGAGGGCAAGGATCGGTCCTCCAGGTGCTGGGAAGGCAGGCGCACGAAGTAGGTGCTGGTCTCTTCGTCGAAGCCCTTGCATGGGAAAGGCATCAACTTTCCAGGACGTCTATGGCCGGTCAGACGTTGGGCTTTCTTATTGGAATTGCAGAATCCATGCTGAAGGGTCTCAAGTCTTAAGTTGCGAACAACCACGCAGAAATATGAATCTGCCGGTCCTCCAGGGTACACCTCTGACCATTCAGGTCTGCCAAGAAGCCGTCGAGGCCTGCTGCCGCTTTAACGCTTTGGCAGCTGTGGCTACAGTACACTAAGTGCTGTTTGTCGGCTTCTCGTTGTGAGGGAACCCCAGCAGTCAGCAGGTTATGCTCTTAAGAACTTAGCACCTCAGAGGGCTTTTGTGGCGTAACAACGCTGGATCCTGAAAGTCAAGGATATCTTCCACGCACGGCTGGCATTCGTCGTCGGCTGTGGTGAGCACCACAAACGCTGCTACATGAGACGAGGAAAGCAGCCGCACGTCAGGTGCACCAGTGCACCACGCTGCGGTGCCAAACACTGCCCCTGGGGCCTCGCAGCTCGACCTGGCTCCCAGCCTGAGGCGAAATGGACTGTGGCAGAAGCAGCCTGGCACTACTCCACGGCGGCCTTCAGCGGGGCGGACTGGAGCGGCCTGCGCTTCGGTGCCTCTGCCATGGCTTCAAATCTTCGTAGCGATGTGCAGGAGAAGCATGTCGTCAAAACCTGACTAATCTTGACCCCGAGGGCTCACCTTCGCTGGCTCAGCCTCTTTCATACCGGGGATCTCCTTCTTGAAGTCCTGAGCGCCATTAGGGCTCCATCTCGTTGACCCATGCTTTAACCGCCAACCTCTGTGAGAAGAACTCTCCGAGCCCAAGGCCCTGGAGGCTGCGAGGGGCCTTGGGCGCTGTGCCCAGGCAGGCACTGAGTCGGCCTCCACTCGAGGCGGGGTAGTGAAGTATGGAGCTATGAGCTCGCAAACGAAGGAGATGCGAAGAACATCCAGCTTCCAGCTCCGCTGCCGGCCCCAAACACGCCTTCCAAGCGGCATCCGTTGGGCGAGGCTTCGGCTCGACCTGGCCATGGCTTGAGAGGGTAGCCCCGGGTCGGCCGATAGAGCTTCTGACACCTCGCATGTGGCTGCCCTGACCTAAGAGCCGCACAGCCGAACAGGGCGACAGAGCTCCGCAACACAAACTCTCAACAAGACGAAAACCCCACACAACAACGGCCCGGGGCCGGCGGGGCCAGCCTTAGACTCGCCAGGAAGGGGTGGCGGTGGCTCCTTCACAAAAAAACACAAAAACACCCCCCAACCCCAACCCCGGAAGTCTCTGAGCCGAGCCTCGTCTCGGAAAAGGCCGGCGAAGGCGCCTCAAAGAAAAAAATGCGGCGGCGAAGCCGATCGGCGTTTTCGGCTCCCAGACTCCGTGCACTGCTATCCGGATCTAAGCAGCTCACCGGCATTCTTCCTGTCGCCTCCCAGACAACATGATCTTGGGTGACACTGGTCGTTTCAAGTCTAGGGCCATCCAACTTGTCTGCGAAAAATCCCACTCATCCGCAGCAGCGGAATGGCTGTCATTGGGCTCGCATTTTTGAAAAGGTGGCCAGAGCTGTAGATGGGTTGTCCATGCCCGGCCAGGCATTGAATACAACATTCTGATTCGAGCAAGTTTGGGGGTGGCTGCGTTGTCGGGTGTATAGGGACAGCATTGGGCTCCAGTTTTGTTGAACACAAACCTCGGAAAATGTATTGGGGGGTTGATCGGAGGCTTCGGGGGCCGGGGACGGGGGCCCGACACCAGCAAAGCTGAAACAAGTCTAAAAGCATGTTCCAAGCCTTGAGAAATGAATAATTTCCGTGCCCTGGAAACTAAGCCAAAGCTTGCGGGTTTAGGGGCGGCTCATTGAGCTCCAGAATCGAAGGCCAAACGTGTTTAGCAGGCCTCGGGAAATCATTTGAGCTTGGTCGGGGGGGCTCGAAGAGGGACGTCAGCAAAGCTGAAACCGCTCTAGATGCCTTTTCCAAGGTTTGCCATATTCATGTTGAAACTAGCAAAGCCGTTCCTGCCCGAAACTCGCTCTGGCGGAACCTGCTCCGCAACTTGCCCCCGGAACCCGCTCCGGCCCGCCCTGCCCAGAATCTTCCCGGTAACCCGGCCCCGGAACCTGCAACGGAACCTAGCCCGAGAGGCAAGCCCAGTTCCTGGTGCAGTCAAGGTGGGAGCCCTTCTCTCGCCTTTGCTTGGGTAGCCACGCGGCAGCCCTCGAGGATGCAACGACCCAGGCTGCCTGGAAGCGACCAAAAAAATCTGGCATTTCGTGCAGCACCTACTGCTTCCTGCATGGTCGCGAAATTCAGGGTCCGTCGACCCCCCCCCTTTTGACCCAGGTGGACATTCGACTGCCGCTGCAAGCCGCTGACTTACGGACGAAAACCTGGCATCCATGCCCTAACTCGTTGCGTATTTCTTGCGACTGCGACTGCCGAAGACCGTTCCATGCTCGACATAGACATAGATGTATTTGTGCGGGTGAAACAACATTCCACCAGGATCTCGACAGAGACTCCCTGCTCAACCGTACATATAATAATGATATTGGGTTATCACTTGTCAGACCAGAGCAACATTGCTTGCTGGAGCGTCAGGGTCAGATCACGTTCTCGAGCCGTCGAGTTACCGTCCGCAGACTACAGGAGAAAACAGACCAGCAAGCTCTGGATGCGATTCAACACACACACACACACACATCAACAAACTGAAAACTTCACAGGGGCACACAGCATACATGGAAAACACATGCACCTTGGTCCTCCAGAAGATCTCTGCTTGAACTACTTGGATCAGACACAAGCTCGTAAAGCTGTCGGAGTACTCGTGAACGACTTCTGCCATAGCGACGATGCACCTATAATTTCTACAGCATGCTATGCATGTGTGCCATTATGTGTGCAAGCGCTCGGGGAGCTACCTGTGCAGCGCTGGATTGGCTTCCAGCACCACGGCGGTTCCTCTGCCTGTCACAGGCAGGTTGATCTTCAAACGTCTCAAAGCTTGCTCCTGCGCACGAGTGAAGTCACGCCGACGATGACATTCAGTCCTGGCTCGTACACCTTTCTGCCCCTCACCCTGCAGCCCTCCAGCTTGCATTCTGGCTGCGCCTTTTCCAGCTGCCTTGGCATCCGCCAGTTCAAGCTGATCGATTTGCCTGCGGGATGCCATGTCGGGTGCTGAGAGGCGCAAACTGCAGGCTACTTCTAGTCTGGAACTTGTGCTCCTGTTGTGTCCACGACACGAACACCGATACAAACGAATGGCAGATTACAGCACCCACCGAAGACCTCAAACAGTAGAACCAGCAGAATCCAAACCAGAACAATACCTGGCGTTGTATTCAAGAGCCCGACATGATGTTAAAGGCGGTTCAAGTCCACGAAGACCACCCTCTTAGAGCTGCCTCAGTATGGACTCGAGACTCGGCACATCTGCGTCCTGCCCATAGACAGCAAGATAGATGAGAAATGACATGCTGACATAGGGCAGCGGCCGGAGATGACAAGCTAGGATTTGGAGTCTTGACGTAGGCCACAAGCCATAATGCCATACTACTCTAATCTGCAAATCTGCCATCCCATTCCCTCATGTTTCATGAGTTTCACACCCACATACGCACAGACACTCACGCAGACACACTCCTGACTCACACATCTACCGTTTCTCATGCACGAGCAGACAACGCAGCAGTAGGTGCCATGCCTTGAAAGGCAGTCTAAGCAGCTTACCCCCCCTCTGCACAGAAGTCCTCATCGCCCATTCGGCTGCCAGAAAGGCCTCAATGCAGAGTCTAGGGATGCGAGTCTCTGCTGTCCTAGACGGCTGCAACCTTAAGCATTCTCTACCTTGGAGAGCCTCTTCTCGCAAACTGAGGCCTGCACATCTCCAGGCAGATGGGATCTAAAGAGTCTTCGTCAGATAAAATGCAACCCCAGCGATACTGTCTTGATTTCAACAGTGTTGTGAGGCACAAAGCTTTTGCGAGGTAGAGGTGCTGTGATGGAATGCACGGCCCAAGCTGCAGTTTCTCACGAATGCTGATACTTGCAGGTATCAGTCTTGGCGCGGCTCGTGTCGTGTTGGAGCCAGGGTTTCGCGCGTAAAATGCCAGCATTGACAAAGTTTCTTGCAGCCTGGACAACCAACTGCCCGACACACATGCCCACCTAGGCGGAGCAAATATCCTTGACAGTTCTACTTGTGCGCGATGGGATGACACATCCAGTGCTGAACAAAGTTCGTCCCCAATCCGAAGGGCAGACGGACAAACTTCAAATTCGGTTGCAGGCTGACTTGAGCGGAAACTCCTGCTCATGCTCCCAGCCCGAATTTGGGAAAAGCGTGCCAGGGTTCACTGGCTCGCCAGCGGGACAAGAATCCAACATTAGCTGAGCGATCCCTGCCAGGTGAGCAGGCTTGCACGAGACGATTCTCTGTGAGAACAGGCATTCCGCCTTTTCCAAACCCCTCCCGACGGCCTATGTGGCCAAAAGCGATGGCATGCCAGAGGACGGAGTGTCCCGAGGCATCCTTCTGCCTTCCTCAGCTCGGGGTATGACGTACCGTGCCCACCGTCTAGCCAACCCGAGCCGAGGGCCCCGCCGTTACAAAGGCCTTGTTGAATGAGACGACTTATCAAAGCCTCATTGCCAATGTGGACCTCGGGTGTGCCGCCCCATGCCGTGCTTCACTCAATCTGCAGCTTCGAGGTATTCCGAGCTGGGACCCCGGCTGCATGCCAAAGCTCTGGCGACCCTGCAGCACTCGCCTGCATCCCGACCGGTTTCAGGATTAGCCTTTGGGCTCGGTACGCGACTCCGTGCAGTAGCTTGATGCTGTTTCGGCCATGCAGAGGAACTTCAGAAAAGACTTCGATGGCAGAATTTCACTGAGCCACCGGCGGGCACGACGGAGTCCTGTGCGGGTCAAGCGGACCCCTATCATAGGCAAACAAGGCATGAAAGACAAACCGCAGCAACCAATGGTAACCCCAAGTCCCAACCGAAGCACCAAGCAAGTGAAGCGAGTGGGGAACCTTCTCCGCATAGGCCTTGCTGGGCACTGCTTCTCGCTCCGGTCCCTGCATCAGGGGCTGTGCATGCAATTCTCGCGAGCTTGGGCCAGCATGCCGAAAGGGCCTGCAGCTGGCGCTGCCGAGAGAGCGCCTGCAGGTTCTACAAGTAGCAGCTCGCTGCAAAGGCGATCGATACCCCGCATGCCTGCCTCCCGCTGGCTTTCGATAAAGCTGCTCAGCCCAGGACCCGCGAAAGTCACCTCCTTCAGTGCCAGCAAACTCAGTGCACTCGAATCGCGGGAAAAGTATGATCTTTATTCGAAACTTCATCTGAATCTGTGGCCTGCCTCTCACTGCAAAATGCCACAACTGAACATGTACATTGTACATGTTCCCCACAAAACCCCAGAGTCGAAAGACATCCGAAGACCGCCTCTTCAAGGACGATTGCCTTGCCGCGCACTGCGCTGCCTGGCACGTCTTCGCACTGCCCCTGTGATCGCATGCAGAGACAGAGCCGCTTTCAATGTAATGATGGCATGCGTTTGCAGGATCTAGTAGCCGGAAAAACTTTTTCGACGTGGCAGCGGTGGTCGAGTCAGGGATCCTCATCGCTTTCTACGGGATCTTCCCAAGTCGTGGCATACCACTTGATGAACTCGTTCAAGGAGACGCAGCCATCCGAGTTGGAGTCGACCTCCAGGATGACCTTTGCTGCCGAACCCCCCCAACCCCACCCCCCCCTCACGCGCCTGATGAATGTGATCAAGGCAGAGACTGATAAACAATAACTGCGGAAGTCCGAAGGGCCTTGTCGAAGGCTTCAGTGACCTCTCCTTGTTCGACGAGGCTGTCGTAGAGAGGTCGGAACTGCTCAATTGAGAGCTGTCCGGTTAACTCCTCCTTACATGCTCGGTCAACCGCGGAGCCATCTCTTGACAAGCAAACCCTCGTCGACGTGATATGCCGGACGTCTTACTCACAAGCTCAGAACTGCCGGAAGAATCTGTGTGGGGGTCTGCCATGCCTGAGACCGAACAGAACAGACAAAAGGCCCTCAAGCGTGATGTCAGCATGCTGACATTTAGGCATATGATGGCTCCTACATCCGACGTGTACACAATCACACCCATCACAGCAAGAATTTCCATGACATCATGATAATGATGACGACGATGACTACACTTGTCGCCATGACCATCAACATCTCCATTCAGCAGCGGTTCATCTTTTGCACTGTCACCGGGCTACCATCACCATCATCATTCGCCGCGCACATGTGAAAATGCTGCATCACATCGAGACAAACGAGAGTGGTTCTGCACTGCACAGATGCTTTGACACCGCGTGCTTCCTCTACAACGAGCTGCAGAAGAGCAGATTTGGTCCATCAAATTGAACAGCAGCTTTGTCGGTTTACTTGCACCGGCACGATCTGCTGCAATAACCGAATGATAGCCGCATCAAGGCATGGATTGGAATCCCTTGTTTTCGGACCGAATTTCAGAATAAGTTCGAAAGTGAATTCCACGGGCATGTCTGCTTACACTGATTTTCGCGGGATGAAGGGCTGCGGTTTCGTGCAGCCTATGTATCACAGTGAATTCTTGAGAGAGCTCCACGTCGTGAGCTCTGGAACTCACTCCGTAATTCACTCTGGAACTCAGCCCGGAATACACAAGATCCACCAGACGGGGCCGTAACTCAGACCGGGACTCACTTCAGAAACAGCCACACCGGTGGCATTCACTTCACTCTCAAATGCAAAAGCAAAATAAAGCTCGTCTCCGGTTGTGTCACTCTGTTTCTGCCATGCAAACTGCGGGCTCTACTCTGCTCTGAAGATCTCTGAAGCCAAGCGTCGTCATACGCTCGGAAAAACTCGCCGACCTCAATAAAAGGCTTTGCGAGAATCAGGCGCGAAGACATCAATTGAAAGTCCCAAAACCCGGGCGGAGCGTACCCAAACGTATCCCCAAACCTGTGTTTATTCTTTGGGAGCTCAGGGTTTTGAAACCATGGCACAACCTCATCTGAGGGTACTATGCAGGGCGCAGTACCTGGTGGATGTACTGCGAGTGTTGGTCGCTGGCATCATGCAGTAAGTGCGAAAACCGGCCATCCTCCTGCAGACACGGAAAGCCACACTACAGGCTCTGACCTGGCTGAAGTGCTTAGCTGTGCTTTTGTAAAGCATATTATAAAATCCTAGCATAACTCGTTGAATTTTAGTGTCAGGTCAAGTTTAGGAGGCAGCGTGGCCAGGTATGACAGAGCTGAGACATGTCATCACAGTATGGCTGCTCCTGCCGCCAGCGCAGATACTCAGGAAAGTCGATATATCCAGAGCCATCCTTGTCCAACTCGGCGAATGCCTATCAAGGTGCTATGGACTTCAAGCTGTAAGTCTCCCTCACGGCATAAAGCTTCATCAGCCCTGGACAGTCAATACTAAGACAGCCAAGCATACAAGCATGCACAAGCCAAAAGACAGTTCCAAGCTAGAACTTGCGCCCCACTGCCAGCATGTTCGCTTTCTGAAGCCTGCATAACTTTTCTTTCAGGTGTGCGACAAGATGCTGTGGCCACTGGCACAAGGTACAAAGAGCCTCCCTGGAATCTCAGTTGGCAGAAAAAAACGCCGGTGCCTGATCTAATTCTTCCTCGCTCAGGCAGTAGCCATTGACGTAACATTTTTGCTGGAAGTCAAGGATGTCCATCCTCTCAACGGCAGTCAAATTGAAACCGGATGGAACGCGAGCTATCTCTGGCCAACACTCTCAAAAACTTTGATTGTCTGCCAAGGATTTGCTGCAAGAGCACCGGACGGGAGCATTAGTCAACAAGGCGACACACCACTGCAACTAGAGCGAAACAATGCCGTGATTGACGGAGGTGCCTCGGAGTCCAAACATCAGTGCTTAGCAGAGAAGCCTGCAAGTCAGAATGGCCTGGCACAGCCGCCTGTGCCCTGGAAGAACGACTTCTTCACTCGTTGGACGAACTCTTTCTCCTGCATGAGCTTGCGTAGGACTCCCGGTTGATTGGCTCTGCTCTGCAAGCACTGACCACCGAGAGCTGGAACTCTCAGCCACTACGGACGCTCAAGCATCATTGATGTGACTTTGGTTCGGACGCTGCTCAGCCACAAGGGCGAGACTAGGACGAAGCTTCGATCAGGAATGTGACATTGGAGTCACTGGTATCTGGCAACACGGGCCAAAGAGGTGCAAGACTTTGACTGACAACAGGATTGGACATGACTCTGCTCCTCTGTCGACTTGAACTTCAATCCCTTCTGGCGCTCGTCTTGCAGCTTCCACCATGCCAGGAACTCTGAGTATTCAATGCCACTGGACCTTGCTTTCGCGGAACCCTACATCACTGAACACCACGCAATCTGCGTGTCGCGGAAACTCACCTCCTGGCCAGGCCCTCAAGACTGCACTCATTCGCGGCAGAAGGCTCTCCCGACATGCGGACAAAAGCTGCCGCCATCTCGTCTTCCTGATCATGGATCATGGCTCTTCGATTCTCCGAACTTCTGATCTACAGTACAACGCAAGATGCTAAGTATCTGGATTCCTGTAGATACCTGACGGATGTAGTTCAACAGCTTTCGAAATCGCTCTCAGTTGCAGCTTCGTGTCCTCAATGTCTTCGCAAAACTCCTTGTCGCTGCACATGCGCTTGAACTGCTCGAAAGACATTCCTGAATTAGCTCGAGGCATGTGACCAACAAGCAGCTCCTGCAGCACCCCAGCCACCGTAAGTTGCCCCAAAACCGTCCTCCTTAATGCCGCAACATCTGCAAGGACAACTGCCTAAAGCTGCAATCCCACAACACTTCATCCCAAGTTCAGGTCCTTGGTCCCAGACCTGACAGTCAAGGTGCGACCATCGCTGGAGTACTGGTCGAAGACGATCTGACTCAGCGGCGCTGTAAGCCCGCGCTGAGTGTCAAAGTTCATGGCAGGAGGTAGCCGATTAACACGCTGGCTTGTTCCATAACAGGCATGTACAACGTGCATCTGCATGCTTCGATCTAGTCAGCTGCACGTCTCCATTAATCTTCTTTTGGTAGCTATTTCAGTATCTAGCTCAAATCGGGCGTGAAGCTTGTTGCACGCCTATACCTTGACAATTGAACTCCACTCGCATCGCCGCAGCTCGAGCCAACGACATCACGACATTCTGCTTCCAAAATACAAATCTGCCACATCTTGCGATGCATTCCGGCCCGGTCCGTACTTAAGCCAGTGCGAAGCATGTCTGCCCAGTCCACGTTGTCTTGCTCCCGATCACAATCCGGGCTTGGGCGCCCATATCCGCAGTGTTGGCCGGGCGGATACCGGGCCTTAGTGGTGTTGGGCCGAAGCTCGAAGGACCAAGCAGGGGGTCTTTCATTCCATCTTCAGATTGCTACATGTGGGTCAGTGGGTGGGCGTTATGAGTAGGAGCATACGACTTCGGCTGCATCCTGACAGAGGAGTCGGGCGCCGGGTTAGCATCCGCCCAGAGCCTGCAGTACCTGGCCAATGCCAGAACCCCAGGATTCCAGGATTCCAAGGCTGCCCACGGAGGCGTCGGCGAGCGAGAGCGAGCGACCGCTGCCTGCTACACAATACAAGCTCGTGCTGCGATCCAGCACCGGGCTTGCAGTTCATTCCCGGCTTCAACACCCTTGGTCCTTTCCACAAGCTGATAGGGTTTTGGCAACCTTTCCCATCCGACCACCGTCTGGTGGTCGGGACCCGCGCCTCGGCGGCGGCTGCCAGCGCCGCTGCTGGCATCCCTGTTGCGCAGGGCCTCACAGCTTTCAGCCGGCCGATGACTGGCTGTGATGTTCCCAGCGATCTTGCCGGGACAGCTTTCACATTGCAGCAGCTGTTACGAGATCCCTTGCCTGCCGCGCGTGGGCAATTGAGGGCCTTCGGCATCGCGGCCTGCATGAAGGACCCCTAATTGATCACTCTACGGCCTTGCTGAGGCTGTTGAGTTATGTGCTCGCCGATCTTGGCAGGGACGGCATGCGATATGATCGAGGCTGAGCTTGAATCTCATCCTGGTGTTCCCAGGCGGTGGTTTTGGAAGACTTGTCTTGCCCTGCACAGAGGGCGATTGGTGTCAGTCCCTCATGCATAGAAACCCCAGCAAACCGCTACTTCAGCAACGGCTTTGCCAGTCTGTCAGAATTGTCGGAGTTCAACCACTGGGTCCGCTCGGTCAACTCAGCCAGGCTGGCCTGCATTGACCGGTACCTGCAGACAAGCGTCAACCACTTCTAGGGATGCAGGTGCCGAGCGTCCAAACACAAGGCATCCAGTGAGGATAGTTTGTTCCAAAGTTCAAAGAATGATCCCAGCACCCAAGAGACTGCCAGCGACTGCAACAGTGAACGATCACAAAGAAAGCTGCCATTTCGCTGCTTTTTTTCGTTTGCCCTTGCATCTCGTTCGCGGCTTTCGTCGGGCGCGGCAAGGCGTTGGCCTGTCAGAAATACTTCGAGGCTTCGTGCCATCACACAGCTACGTTATGACAGTTTTGACGATTTCCCCCACCCTGGCCTCCTCGGTTGCAGCTCCTTCAGAGGCGCATCCGTGAAAGCTCTGGGCTCCAGCTGCCTTTGCCGCTTTCTTCCGCGTACATTGTGGCCCTTGGTGAACTCAGGGCTTGACAAGGCCCGCTTTGCAGGGCTGGGCTGCCCCAGCTGGGCGTTAACCAACCGCGTGGCTTGACGGCCGGCAGATGGGGAGAGAAGTTGACCGAGCTGCTCTTCTCTCCAGATCAAGTTGCGGCGGGAGGCATCTTCAAAGAGCGCAGTCACGTCATCCGAAAAGGATCCTTTCAGCAGGGCAGCGTTGGCAAAGACGATGAGCGAATGCTTGGCTCTGGTTAAAGCCACGTTGAGGCGCCGAAACTCAGAAAGGAAGCCCAGGCGACGCTGCGCATTCGCTCGAACGAAGGAAAGCAGGACGACTTCCGCCTCAGATCCCTGGAAGCTATCGACGCTGTGCACTTCAATGCCTGTCTCCACAAGCAACTTGCGGATCAATGCAGCCTGACCGTTATAGAAGGTGATGACCACAAGCGGGGGGCAGCGGCGTGCCACCCACCCGTCCTTCCCCATGCAAGCCGCGGAGGCCAAGTGCTTAGCAAAGCGAGCCAAAGCTTCTGCCTCACGTCTGTTGATGATGCGGCTTTCCTGGTGGTAGACCTCCTCAGTACCAGCCACATCCACGACGGCATATGGCGGTAAAGCGTGGTGTTTGGAATCCTGAGAGCCTCCAGCGAGAACGTCCACCAGCCGCCCTCCGTAGAATCGAGCCGAGGGGAAGCGGCTGATCTCTGGGTGCATACGGTATTGCTCCTGGAGCATGATGTGCTCCTCGATACAAATCTAGACGTGTCCATCGTGCATGTGCAAGAATTTGTGTGTGAGTGTTTGTGTGTGTATATATATATATATGCAACTATAAGTAAACATACACATATGTGTGTATTTGTATACATACGCACATAGACATAAACATAGAAATAGGCATAGACTCATCGACACAGCACAGACACCGACAGACACCTATACGTATATGCAGATACATACGCGTAATCATACACGTAATCATATGCAGATACATACACGTAATCATGCACGTAATCCATGTACGTATTTATATGTACACGCATACAGATACGAACACATGAACATGCGCAGATACGTTAACAACCATACACTAGTCTAGAAAGAAACGCATGCATGTACATCCTCGCAGGGTTATACATGCAAATACGCATAAGGCATATACATACACATTCATGGACATTCACACATACGTATGGGAGAGCTTGACTGCGACTCTGACATATTATATGTTGTACTTCTATCGCTTCTCAGGGAGCTCGAAGTTGTCGTTCTTGATCACCCTTTCGTGTTACAAGAAAAATAACCTGCTCAATTTAGGGACAGGCTTGCTCTTTTTGCCCGGTAAAGGGGATGATTGTCATCCCTCATCTCCATATGCGTATGCATATCCATATGCATGTGAATACACGTGCACGTACACGTATACACGCAGCTTTCCGTATACAATCATTCACTCAGTCAGGCAGTCATTCAGCCATTGATTTATTCGTTCCTTCACACTCGTAGTATAAGTATACTTTCATACAGATGCATAAACACATACATGCATACTGATGCGTATGGAAATCTACGCTGGGTATGTGGGTACGCATGTAGGTTTGTACGTATGTGAGCACATATGCATGTGCTTATGTACGTCTGTATGCGTGTCGGCATGTGTGTTGAAAGGTAGATAAGATAAGATAAGACAGGGTCAGATAAGATGAGACAAGATAGATGAATGTAATGGGTAGCATGGACAGATAGATAGCCAGACAGATGCATGGATGGACAGATAGATGGCTAGCTTGCTTGCTAGTTGCTGCTAGCTAAATAGACAAGATACCTAGATAGGTAGATAGATACACAGGTAGGCAGACACACACACACAGACAAACAGACAGACAGCTGGATGGATACATAGGTAGAGATGTAGGTACGTACACAGATAGACCGAAAGCTTCAGCTACTGTTCCTGTGCGTCACTCTGACCAACGCATCTTACTTCTTACAGCATTCCGTTGGCGTGCGAATCAGCCATGCAGAAGTGTCCTGTCCAAGCCCCATCAGCCGCTCCATCATGGACCGGCAGAAAAGTGCCTCAGTTCACGTGCTAGCCCTTACCGGCTGGGATGCGCTAACCCAAACCAATCTGGCTCAAGACTCAGGCTGGGAAGCTCTCTCCCCTTTTGCTCTCGAGGTGCGCTCTTCGCCATGTCGGAGTGACAGACAGTGGCGCTCAACTGCATTGGATCCTCACTGACATTCACATTCAGAATCACCTAAGCCTGCTTCTGACCGGGCCTCTTGGACTGTGGTTGCTGCAAAGAGCACTTGCATCCAACTCCAACTGGAAGCGCGTCGTGTTAGCACACATCCCGTACAAAAGCCGACCGAGACGCAGAGGAACATGAGCCAAGAATCTCCAACCAGTACCAGCTGTTTTGGCTGCAAGCAGAGGGGAACCTGAAGTCTGGTGCCAGGCAATGCCAGCAGTTCTGGCTGCAAAGCAGACTAGAGACACGCAGGACTTTTCACCGTCTGATTCAAGAGGCAAGCAACTAAAGTCTCGGCTTCGATTGCTTGTGCTGCCTGCAAGCATTGAAGAAGCTCTGAAGATAAAGATTCTTTGCCGGAACATGAGCTTCTCTGACGGTATCGCAGAAGGCCTCGTCCACCAAAACCGTCTCGATGCCATCGCGCAGCGACATCTGCAATCCAGGCCTGACGGCATATCCAATGACGGAGAGATGAAATCTACTCCGACATTGCACTCGCACACGTCTGGTTTATCCATCCCTCTCTCCAACACAATTTGCCGACAAGCCCAGCAGTGTGAGGCCTGAAGCTGCAAGTGTGCCGAAGTGCGCCTTCCCGCACAGCTCAGCGTGCAGAAAACGGCCGCGGCAGCTTTCAGCCTCACACATCGGCATGCCGCCGCAGGCTTGAACACGCAAGATTGGGGGGTCGCTCCCAAGCCCATTCTGCCGAGGGACTGTTCCGTCTCGAACTGAGGGGCCTTGTCTGTCAGGGCTCGTCAGGTGGTCGTTGGACTGTTGTGAGCTGTCGGCGTTTAGGAAAGTTCATTCATGTTGAATTTCGGCACGCCGCCTCCCCGAAGCGCTCGCGCCGAGCGAGCTCCGTCAGCCGCTCAACCAAGGTGCCACGAACGGGCCGCCTGCGCTGTGCCCAGAGACGCCATGCAACAGCTCAATGCAACTACTAAGGCAGTTGAATTAGTGTTGAATTCCCTCTTACGTTCAAGTGCCAGGGTAGTCATCAGCATCGTGTGCCAAAGCCCTTCTCCAACAAGGTGCGAGCATTCGCGAGCCATGCTCTGCCCCGACATTTGCATTTTGTCTTCCTGTCAGGATGAACGAGAGACCTTTGCGGTTGATGCTTTGGGTTGGCTTCTGAGGTGTCATGACCTCTGCTCTGGCGTATGGCTTCACATGTGAACTGTGCTTCTCAGCACCCTTGTCGGTGCGGTTGCATCGAAAGCATATGCCACTCGGATCTAACAAGGTCAAACTCAAGCCTGGATGCAGCAGCTCACACTCGCCCTGACAACACTCTTGCGCATGATGCAAGAAGAACCAGGCTCGCTTGCTCTAGCGTTGCTTGTGTTTCATCTTCCGACGAGTTCAGCTTTGCGTTACATAGTACGGGAGTAGGGCCTGATCCAGCCGTTTTGCAGTTGCTGTCTGCACGTCACGTTCCTGCTCGCCGCCTCTTATAGCCAGCTGAGCGCGCGGAGCTCTCAAAGCAGCAAATACACATCGTTGGGTTGGGGCTTCCGGGCGTTGGATTTCCCAACGGAATACCGCGTCTCAGGGCTCGAACAAGGCATGGCTGGACTCGGATATAATATGTTAGGAAAATTTACTACACGAATTTCGATGTAACTGATATGACTGATCTAATATTATCGTCTTGGGAAGTGGATGCCTCTGTGACCAGGCCTGGCAGAGTGGGCTTTGTGCTCCGAGGATTCCGACTCAGAGGTCTCTGCGTCGCCTTTGGGGGCAGTGACATGCAGACGGTAGAGACTGTGTTTGTCCAAGAACAAGTTTCGTCTTTCCTCGCATCGCCGAGTCCCCTACTTTTTCCCTTCGTGTCCCTGTCTGATAGGATTCTGCCTGGTGCTATCCATGACACAGCTTGAAGAGCCCCTGATTGGAGGCTAGAGTTAGGGCAGCGATGAAAACGAATGCATGGATCTCCACCCACGACTCGAAGATTTGAGGGCCCCGCTGGTGTCTTCCGCCTCGCTGCAGCTTTCCTGCCCCAGAACATGAGCACAAGAGAGGACATGAACCAACAGCTTGCCTTAGAAAGCGGACGGTTGTAGTTTACGGATCTGTCCGGTTTGCTTTCTCAGTAGTCTTTGGGTGAGATGGCCCATTACATGGTCTTTGAAGGTGCATGGAAGGAATCAGATTTCTCAGACGATACGCTTTCTTAGAGTATTTCACGCCCAGGCCCGGGCCTCCTCCCAGGTCTCCAAACACTTCTGCAAGTGCTTTGTGGAGAGGTTTCGAGGCAGCTTCAGCCTGCAGCAGATTTCTGCGGTAGGAGAAGGCGAAACCCCATGCGACGCCGCAAGAAGCTCGTCTTGGAGTGCCCCCTCCGCATGTG